GAACCGATCCATGTTGGCCTTTGTATTTGTGCCCCGTAAATATTACACAAGAAAGAGATGAGATACAAGGGATTCTTACTTCTGCCCAAGGTGAACAGATAAAAATTCAAAATATTAATGGTCCACTTAAAACAGATGAATTGTTTCAAGTCATCACTGGAATCTCTGGGCAAACAAACAACTGGCTTTTAATGGCAGAACAAGCAGCTAAAACAGTGTCTAATGATTGTCTTGTGTGTATGGGAGCTAGACCGCTGTTACGTGTGGTTCCTGCCACCATAACTCCTCAATGTCTTCTAAATATAATGAATTATACGGTCCCATCTGATAATTGCACCTATTGGGATAACATCTATCCCCTGACCACAACTGAGAAAAAGAAACCAAGTCTTTTTGAAAAAAGTAGCTGTGGCAAATTTCACCTGTGTAAACAGGACCGGAGTGGGCCCGAAACTAGGCACACTAAATGAAACACAATGTGCAAGTATTTTACTGGTATCCATCTTTTTTAAACCTCAATCCCGCAGCGACATCTGGTGGTGGTGTGGAGATGACAAATTGTTTGACAAACTTCCATGTAACACCACTGGATTATGTGCTGCTGTCACTTTGATTTTACCTGTTTCTGTTACATCACTCACAACGGATGAATTATTGACAACTGCAAACAGCATTTTACCTCACACAGAGCATACTAGAAGGAGGAGGGCATCTGAAAATGCATGGAGTGGAGATGATCCTACTTATATTGATAGCATTGGTGTACCCAGAGGTGTTCCTGATGAGTATAAACTAGCCAATCAAGTTTCTGCAGGATTTGAATCTTTTTTATGCTGGTGGTGTACTCTAAATAAAAATTTAGACAGAATCAACTACATCCATTATAACGTCCAGAGGCTGGGAAATAAAACAGAACGAGGCTTCTCCGCCGTCCATGAACAATTGTCAGCTACCTCTCTGATGGCTTTCCAGAACCGTATTGCTGTTGACATGTTGTTAGCTGAAAAAGGTGGTGTGTGCTCTATTTTTGGAGATCAGTGTTGCACCTTTATTCCCAACAACACCGCTGCAGATGGCAGCCTCACAAAGGCCCTTGAAGGCCTTCGCTCTCTTAACAGCAAAATGAAAGACCATTCTGGAGTTGACACAAAAATGTGGGATGGATTTGGAGACATTTTTGGTAAATACAAACAATTGGTGCTTTCTATTTTAATGTCTATAGCTGTATTTGCCGCCATCTTGACCTTATGTGGATGTTGTTGTATTCCATGTATTAGAGCACTGTTAAATAGACTAATTACCACAGCGATACAACCCATGAAAGCAGAAATGTATGCCTTCGTGCCCACTGAAAAATACCCATCTGATGATGAAGACAGCGCAGAGGATGAAATCTCTTTGCATTTTCCTGACTTTTATCCTAATTCCAATGATATTACCAGTAACCCACCAGTTTAAAGTACCTCTGAGTGTACCCTTTACAGCTAAAACATGATTTCATAGTTGAAAATCTGAAAAGAAGTAACTACTAAATGATAAAATCAATAGCTTAAAGTGAATAAACAGGGGGGAAATGTTGGATTAATTGTACAAGTTATTCTACTTTAATCATATTATACTTATACATTCAAATTTATACATTTGCATATTCCTGTATACTTGTATTACACAAAGTGTTGAAATGTTTTACTTGCTGTCTTTCTAATGCTTGTTATTAGTGTGTGCAGATGGAGTGCTGGCTGCTCAAGGTCAGCAAGGAGAAAACACGGGGAAATGCACTCACTAACACCGGAGAAAGGAGTGAAAGCTCTTATCTCATGATACTGTATGATGTTATGCAGACTTCTGGTACCGACTGGGTTTCACCCCCTCCCTTCTGGTTCCGACTGGCTTCACCCTCCCCCCCCCCCTTAGCAGTCGGAACCACATTGTAGCCAGGGCGTTTCCTTAATAAAAAGCTTGGTAGAGCGGAGACTTTTTCAGAGTGGTTTGGAGAATTGTAACTGAACAGTCTCTGATCACTCTCCTTGCAAGTAAATCATACTAAAATTCTCTGTGTCTTTATTTGTACAGGTTACTGCATAAAATGTTTGGTGTTTAAACCTAACAGTTTATCAAAACATTCGAAAAACAATGTTCAGTTCAGTCTAAGTAAATTAAAAATTTAAATTTTAACCAGGGATCCATGAAAAAGCAGTTTAATTAGTAGGGAAAATGTATTTACATCTACTGTCAGAGTTTATAACCAGGCTAATACCGCTGATACTTTAATACCGAAGAGATAATCTTCAGAATCAATACAGAAATTATTTCTTTCTCTGTAATTCAACGTTTGATTTAGTTGTTGAGCCCCAATTAAACTGCAGCTTTTACTGTTGATTAGTTCAAGAATAACAAAAAGTTTGAGGCAAAACTGCAGAGTTTGTTTTGGTCTTAGTTACATCTTCCATTGTTTATTTGCAGAGGAAAACTGTTTCAATGTGTCCATTGAAGAATAAATACTAATGTGGTTCAGATTTTGATAAAGTGCATCAAAAAGTTTTGAAAAATAGCTCAATTTGTACAAAACAAACAAATTGTGAAGCTTTAAATTATTTTTTTCTGATTTGAATACCAATTTTGCATCCAAAAATATTAACTATAAGAAAATAGAAGGAAACATGTACAGTCAAGCTAAGTTTTGGCAGTGACACAGTCTTAATCAAAATCAATTTTTATTTTAACGTACTATTACAGGCTAAAGAGTAAATGCTCAATTCATGAATAGTAAACAGTCTTTTTTAGCCTATTTTTTTTTTATAAATTTAATGTAAAGAGTAAGTATGTTGACCTTTCATCATAGCTTCAGTAATTACTCCACTGTGGGTCATATACATTTAGAGGAATAGCAAGCTGTAGCCTCTGCATTCCCCATGTAGGAACAAAAATACCTATAAAAGATCATTTTTGACAATGAATGCTTCAGCTGTGTTGAGCAAGCTTTCCACTGGTGGCAGCACGATTGTGTACTGAACCCTTCAGCAGGAGGAGATCGCAATCCTGGAAAATGCCAACAATCCAGAAAGGATTGTTTTAATGTTTTAACAATTTTAATGTGCTGCCATTTTGATCCAAACTACTAGTTGATGGATGCCATTTACTGAAGTTGACCTAACAGTTATATAAAATCTGCTTGTTAAAATGTACAAATATTTTCCAATGCAGTTAGGCTGGTCTTTCACACCTGTGATAAGTATACTTGAATAAAGTTGGCTGATCTCTTTCTGCCAGGGGAAAATTAAACTGAAAAGGGAATTCTTAAAGATAATACATCAGTTTGTAGTGAAAAGTATCCTGGAATATCAGGACAAAAGCCTGACAGATTAAATAACAGTTTTTATTATTGTCCAAACTTTTGGCTGATTTTAAAGCTGCAGCTTTTCCACTGATATCATGTTGTTCTACAGCTCAGAACATCAACTCACACCAAACTAATCCACTTTGTTATTTGCAGCCTACAAACTGAATCAAACCCATTTTGGGGTAACAGCACCAACAATACTTAGCTCATTAATGTGCTTTTTATAATTAAATAGATTTAGAAACATTAATGCTGTAAATGAGTGACTCTGGACTGAGCAGCAGACAACAACCAACACATTTACCTGTAGAACAGAATCTGTGTCCTGTAATCTCTTTATCAATAATACAACAGTGAATACCTATAATTTACTTCAACCAGTTTGATTTCTAAAGGAATTATGGGTTTGTCTGCTACAATTTCTATAATTAAATTAGATCAATTGTTTAGATGCAATTTCAGTCAAATAGAACATTTATATAATCTATAATTTTTAATGATCGAATCCCAGCACAAAGGAGCTTTATCACACTAACCCAACAAGTAGGTGATCAAATCTGATTAACTTTAACTAAGCCTTTTAGTGGATAAAACAAACAAACATAACAGACCCAGGAGAAAATGATCATAATGACAACTGTAATTCATTAAATTTGAGTCAGTGAAGACAACATGCAGAATCCTGAAGCCTTTACATCTGTAGAAACAGCAGCAACAGAAGAAGAACATTTAAAAACTGATGGTGGAACCATCCACTAAACGTCCACTAAACATACTGATTAAACTTTAAAGGATGGAGTGGAGGCCTGCCGGTTAGAGCAGGAAGCTTGCTTTCTGAGAAGGCTGCAAGTATCTGGTTCAAACCCCAAAGCCAACCTCTCAGGGCCCCTGAGCAGGACCCTCAGAACCCAGATTGCTCCCAGGCCGAGCCGAGCCCCCCACTGCTCCCGAAGGGATGGGTTAAATGCAGAGTTCAAGTTTCACTGTAATGTTCATTTGCAGAAACCAGTAGAGTTGATCCTTAACATCTAGAGTACAGGATGTTTGTTCAGAAAAAATCAGAGTTCAAATGAACTATTTACAGCAATCAATGAGACTGAATAAAAGTAAAAACAGCATCAACAGGTTTAAATCAAATCTTCTGTTTCTTAACCCTTTCATGCATGAATTATGATAGTATATGTTATGATTTTTTTACCAAGTGTTTTTATTACTCTTTATGAATGAAAAAAACATTTTCATCAATTTAAAAAAAAAATATGCTTTCTTTAGGGAGTTGCATAATGTCCAACTTAGTGGACACATTACTTACAAATTTTTAATAACACAGAATCAATTCTTGGAATTTATACTTGATACTTGATGTCCCCATATTTTTTTTACCTGCAAGGATCGCCTAGAATAGAAGGAATGAGCAGATATTCCTCTCCCTCACAACCCATTTGCTCCTCTGTCGGCCATTTTGTTTTTTTGTGGAAAAAAAAAAGTCACTTGCAAAGGCTGACGAGTAGGTGGCAGTTTGACAAGTGGCAGGATGATACATTAGCGTCCACTGTAGTAACATATGTGCAAATGTGACATTAAAACATGCTCATTTAAGAGAAAACAACCATTTAATAACTGTCCACTGTAGTGACCACTATGCATGAAAGGGTTAAAAATACAGCAAACAAAATATAAACAAACATGTTCATTTATGAGTAGAAACCTTGATTTCCTGAGCTGCTTCTCCTAAACTACAAGAGCTTCAGTGACAGTTGGTCTGTGGTTGTTTTCAGGTATTCACCTCTGTGGACCGCTCTCCATCTCTGCTCTAGTGTCAGACTTCAGAAAGCAAACATGCATACAAACATCACCCTGATTTAAGAAAGAATCTGTTGTTACTTTCATAAAAATGACAAAGTGTATATTTATTGTAGCTAATATTCTCTGTAAATGCCCCTGCTCAGTAAACTATACATGTATTTACAGGTTCAACAGCAGAACCTTCATCATCAAAAACAAAACTAATCCAGTACCTCTGCACAGCTTTCAGTAAAATGGGATTCAAAACTCTGAATTTCTTGTATTGTTTATGAGGCTTTTCTCCACCTTTCCAATAAGTTCCTGATTATCAAGCTGCTAATTCAGACTGAGAAAGTCAACATTTTGCATAATTCTACACCAACTTCACCTCCAACCTTAAGTATAAACTTTAAATATAAATTATATATCATTTAACTTTATATACTACTTATTTTTTACAAAAATACCACTGGACAAGTTCCATCCAGGTTGAAATTTGTCTTTAAATTTAGCAGATTAATCAGTGATTCAGTTTATTTTTGGGTTGGTTGTTCTAGGCTTCCAAAAAAGCAATCATTACATTATAATAATTTAGATTTTTCATCTGATTTTCTTAAAAAAAACTTTTGCTTCATCAGTTTTTTCCTGTCAATATATGGAAAGTAAAACTTCTATATATTAATAGAAAGAAACATCTTATGGTTCTCTGTTCCTTTCTTAAAGTGCCATTTACCTGCTATTATCAGAGTGAGGTATAACGGAAAGAAAATCCTGTGCAAGTTTTAGTTTTTTAAATTCCTATCAGTAGGATGAAGTTTGATTATTTTTGCAAATCAAATTCGAATCAGTAACATCTGTGCAGTTTTGGGGAAGTGGCAGCATTTGGAAATGTCTCTGTATCCTGATGGACGCTGAATGAGGCTGCATCAGTTTATGCAGAGATGAAAGGAAAATGTTCAGATATTAAAACATGTCAGCTGCCTGTACAGGACAGTCTGAGAGAAAACAGATCAGCTGAACAATCAGTGGTTCCTTCAGGACCTCAGAGGAGAATCAGATTGTTTCTGATCCAGTTTGGTTCCCTCTCATGTTTCTGATCAACAAGCAGTTCCTGTTATGTTTCTCTGAGCCATTTCCAGACCTCACTCCTCACTGATGCCGTGCTCCCACGCCACTTTAGCTTGTTCCTCCTTGGTTGCTGCGATTATGGGCTGGGAGATCTTGCGTGGCATTGGTCGAGGTACAGGAGGGCGCTGTGGTCCGGACTGCGTGATCAGTGGGTCCTCCTCAGGAATGCAGCCCTCTCTGAGGTAGGGTTTAGGAGGCACAGCAGGAGGGGGCTCATGGAGATGATAAAGCGGAGGATTGTGGGGGATGTAGTGTGGATGGAAGTGGTGGTGGTAAAACAGGTGCTGCTGCTGCTGCAGCCCATCCTGCTGTTGGGGCTGTGGAGCACCAGAGCAGCTCAAACCTGGAGCCTGAGACTGGATCTGATAGGCCACCTGGGCCGGGTTGACTCCTCCTGGGGCAGAGTTGCTGCGGCAGGGAGGAGATTTAACTCCCTCCAGGACGTCTGGCTCAGACATGCTGTACCTGACGGGCTGATAAGGAGAGTCCAAGTCTTCCTGGTCGGTGGTCCAGGCCTGACTGCTCGGGGCGGACTCCAGGGTGTCTGTGCGGCTGGCTGGGGGTTCTGAGGAGGAGGTGGCGCCACCAAAGTTGCTCTCACTGAGGGAGGAGACTCCAGAGCTGGCGCTGCCTGAGAGTGTGGAGTTACTGCCATCCAGGACGGACTGTGGACTGGTGGGCGAGGCAGGTATAGGGTGCAGGGGAGACTGGAGACACAGAAAACACATTTATCTGCACACAGTCACCACTGACTGGGTCTGTCCACAATCAATGAAAAGGAGCAACAGAATAAAAAATTCACAATCTGTCTAAGAATATCTCTTCAGTTACTACAGAGAAAAGCATTTATAGATGAAAATAAAAATAACCCCTCAATACAAATATTCATGTGTTTCTTAAGGAGAGCAGACAGACAGATGTATAAACATCCAAACTAATAGAGGGAACTGGGAGCACTAGCAGGACCAGCAGGGTACCTTTCTTAAGGAGCGCGCAGGGAGAGCTGGAGGGAGGTCGCTGACCTGGTGGTGGAAAGCGTCAAAGTGCATCGACAGGTGTTGCCCTACAGGGGGAGACACAGCAGGACTGACTGAGAGATCCAAATATCTCAGGGGATGGAGGAAGGAGAGAGGCTCGAGGAAGCAGGACAGAGTCGGAAAGAGAGGAGACAATACAGTGCAGAAGAGAGAGGTGGAGGAGGAGGAGTTTATAATGAAGAGGTGATAGTTGAACCTGTTCTTTAAAAGTATTGTTTTAAGGGTTCCTGTTTGTCCACGTTTGAAAAGTACAATTCTGTCCAACTTCCATTTCTCCACCTAACAACTATCTATATATAACATTCCTCTGGTTTTCCAAATGCAAAGCATAAAGAATATCCCCAACATTCAGCAGGGAGACTGTAGGCTATTCTTTGCAGCTTCAACTGCAAGAGATAGCAAAACTTCTGCTTTATGCATGAACATCTCACATTACCATTTACAAGTAAATCCTGAAAGGAACTCTGAGGAAATTAACTGGCATGAACAGTTGCTTCGGTGTTAAAGAACACGGATAAGATATAGTGTCAGTAAAGTGTCTTTATGTCATTACTGATAAGGGACCAAGAGATGGATAAAAAATTTGGAGAGGAGGAGCTACTTCTGACATGTGATATAGTCACCATGAACCATCCCCTTCAAAAGTTTCTTACCATGAAGAACGTTCCGAGGTGGAACTGGTGGAGCCATCACGCTGCCAACATGGGAGGAGAGAAAAGGCAGGGCCTCCCTGGTGCCACTGTCCAAACTCCAACTGCTAGGAGTGGTGAGGACTACAGAGAAGATATAGGAGGACATTTGAAAAGGGCTCAAATTAAGTCTTGATTATATTTTCTAAATTGGGATGTATGTTCGGTTACCTTTCTCAGCCACTGAGAGGTTGGGGTCACTGCAGGGCTTACAGGGACCGATTACTTGATGAAACAAAGCTCTCTGAAAGTTTGGTGGCTGGAAAAAAGGCAGAAACTAATGAAGAGCCATTAATGGCTGCTCTAATAATAAGGCTACCAGATGATATAAAGCTGTTACCCTTCAAGGAAAGATTTTATAGAGGGCTATCTGTAACCATCTGTGACTATGAAGAATGCAGTTTTTCATTTTTAAAGAATGCAGCTAAGATAGTGAGTCAGTGAGGTGTCTATATGTCATTACAAGTGAGGGATCAAGAGCTGGAAAATAAAGGAAAAGTGGAGCTACTCTTCAGACGTGATGTAGTCACCATGAACCATCGCAGTCCTGTCTGTACCTGTCCGTTCTCTGTAATGTTGGAGTACATAGCGCTGCTCGGCCTCTCTCTGTGCGGTGGAAGCAGCATCAACATTTCTCTGTTGTGCCTGTACTTGTCTGGCAGAGAAGGAGAGCCCACTGGGGTCAAACATGGATGATGTGGTTAGCAAGGAGAAAAAATTATTAGCAGAAGGATCATAAAGAACATTTTCTTTTTTATTTGGTGTATCAGACAAGGAAACCTGATGCTGTAACAGCCCTGATGGATCTGAGGCGCTCACCTCTCATTGTGGAAGAGACGGAGTTTATCATCTGAGGAGGCGCAGAGTGGGTGGAGCTAAGACTAGAGGAGGAGGGACTCGCCTAAAGAGAGAAATAAAGATGTAATTCTGTAATATATGAGTTTTAACAACTGTTGAAACTAAAGCTGGAGGAGGTGTCTGGAGAAAGGGAAGTCTGTGAGTCTCTGCTCAGACTGCTGCCCCACAAGCTTATTTTAATTTTCATAAATGGCGTCTAAAAACTGACCTGCATGCGATAGAAGTCCTCAGGGTTCTCCACCACCATGCCATCAGCCAGAATCAGCAGATTTCCTGCCTCACTAGAGTTAGAGGAAAGAGAAGGGGAGGAAATGCGCACTGGAGTCAAAACAGCAATGGGACTGGGAGAGGGAATACAACCAGGAATAATTTAAATGAAAGGGATCAAAGGGGGAAAAAGTGTGGAGGAAATGCAAAAAGGAAGGATGGGGGGTGTAGAAACCACAGGCAGAGGGGCCATACAGATTGCAGAAAAAAAAGAATTGGCAGAAAGAGGCCCAAAAAAACCCCATCCAAAATACATGCAAGTGATTTAGTTAAAAAAAAAAAAAATCACATTCCAGAGCATCCAATGGACCAAAAACAGAGTTAAATCAATTGGGAATGACAGACAGAGAGAGAGAAAAATGGTTTAAGTTCAGCGAGTGATAGAAACTAAACACAAACAGATTAGATCATAAAGGAGAATCAGCGGATGGCAGCAGTGAATAGAGATGGAAAAGAATCAATAAGAAGAAGCTGTGTTTTAAAATAATTCAACCTTTTAATTATAAGGCATTAAAACGCCTTACTTGCCTACTCTGAATTAATGCTGAATTTTTGTCCTGCACAGCAAAAGCAGGGAAGAAAAGATTACAAAATAACAAAGCTAAGGAAGTTAATGGTTCCCCCAGTGATATTTTGTCCAATACAAACAGCCCCCGGGGTGAATTAGTTAAAGTTTTAGAATGAAATGTTGGGGACCTGGTTTCAAATCCTGGTTTTATCAGGAAAGGGACCTATGGAAAACTTTTCTAAGTCTTTGAGCAAGTTGTAATGACTTGCTATGGCGACCTGTGACATGGGAGCAACTAAAAGGACACACATATCCCATACACATCTTCTAGGCTGTAATATCTTCAAACAGCTTATCTGATCATGCTTTGCCTAAGCTCTAATCAGGTGTATAAAGAGAGAAATCCCAGAATGTTCACTGTCAGGCAGGATTTAAATACCTCACAGAGGAAGGTGTTACAAAAGATGAATCCCAGAGTTCAGAGCCATTGCATTGGTTGCATTCTTATTTTTTGTAGTATAATGTACATAAATCTTAAATTCCAAGTTAAACATGCCGTATTTCAGTGTAAATAGGAACACCTATGTTTAATTTCTCTCCATCAAAAATTGCTCCAAAATTACTAAAGAACCCTAACCTGCAGAACCAGTTATCATTGATGAGGATGTGAAAACATGGCTGTGGGATAGATGAGTATGGCATCCTTTTAATGACTAGAATTTGAAATAACCGTATAGTGTTAAACATTCAAAAAGAGCTGAAGCCTTTCTGTGTGAGTGTGTTTGCTGCAGACCTGTGTCGGTGCATGAGTTTGAAGCTCTCTGGGCTCATTGGGTTGTGAGAGGTCAGGATTCCTCTGTTGACGCCTGAACCTGACTTATCAAAACCAGGTGGACCCTGAAAGGTAACATAGAAGCCCTGCTCCGATTATTCATACTGTTCATTTGCTGGGACACACTCTGTGGTAAAAAGCAAAGAATATTACTTAGAAAGGCATCCTAGAGACATCCATTTAAAAAAAACAAAAACAAAACTATTTTACATGGTCTGAACAGGCAGGGTTGTAAAAGCTGAAGGAATCATTTTATAAATTCAGGAGATGAAATGTTCAGGGTTGACAGAGTTCAGATCCAGAGCTGTGATGTTTGCTTCAGGCAGAAATCCTCCACTTTAAGAAACCAACTAATTAGGCCCACTATGACATGCATATAAATAAATCTTCTTCCAGACATATAGTTGGTTCAGATTGGCTTCATCATAAAGTGTTGGGATCTGGAGGTCTGTCCACCTTCCTCCAGCAGAGGGCGCCTCTAGATCTCCTGGAGCTGAGCTGACGACCACACCTGCGATCCATCAGTCATCAGGAGACCAGCTTATAAGCAGCAGCAGGATTTCTCTCCAGCGCCAGAGTGTTAAGCCAGTTATGGTTAGCAAAGCCTGAGCCAACCAGCCTGTCTGATTCTCTGACTCCCCTGGAACCTGACTTTGAACCTAATCAGTTTTTGTCTTCTCTGCCTCCTAGGAAGAACCCTGACTGAAACCTGGAGCTCTGGAAGAGCTTCTCAGCAGAGACCTGCCTGCCTGCTCTCAGAAGCAATCCTGGAGATCAAACTGTCTGAACCTGCCTGCCAGCTCTCAAGAAGAGAACTTGGAGAAACTCAAGGTCTGAACACTAACAAGTCTGAAGTCAAGCCCTGCCGTTGCTTAGCCCTCTGCCAACTTCAAGCCTCTGGACCCAACCCGGTTCCCCACCTCTGCTGCTAGCCTGAATCACGTCTCAGATCAGAAATCCAGTCCTGACCAATCCTGGATCTATAACCCCCTGGATCTGAACACTTATTATTGTGTCTGGTTCAATAAACTGTTTAATTTTTCCTTGTCTAAGAGCGTGTTCTGCACTTGGGTTAGGAACCCTGAACCCAATCATGACATAAAGAGCAAACAGAATTATTATTGTGAGATAATAGAGATTGTGGACATGAATGTGGACTCACATGGAAGAGGCTACTCCTCATCATCTGGAACTGATCAATCAGCTTCTTGTGCAGCGGACGCATTTCTGGGTGCACCAGCTTCTCATGCACAGCCAAGCCGACGCCTAAGATGTGGACCTACACATAAAAAATGTTTTTTTTTAGTTAACAAAATGATTCAACATTTCTTTTCTTCCTCTTATTTAAATCTCTTATCTCATTAAAAAGTATAATATGTGTATTTATTCTCCATCTTGTACTACCACCATCTACAGTACTTAACAACAGTGTATATGGATAAAATAAACATTACTTTCCAGAAATTCCTTCTAAATCTTAGACAAAGTTGGTCTTTCTATCCTTAGAGTTGCTCTCCTCTAGAGGATATAATCTATAACATATTTATAAAATGTTTAGCTTTGTTGCATTTTCCATGATGTGAATCTCCCATTCCACCACATCCCAAAGGTGCTCTATTGGATTCAGATCTGGTGACTGTGGAGGCGTTTTAAGCGCAAGGATCTCATTGTTATGATCAAGAAACCAATCTGAAAGGATTCGTACTCTATGGCATAGATATTTTTGGTTAAATCATAAATTTTAACAGCAGAATTTGTAATGATTACTTAGAGGTGCATGAATAAAACAAAAACAAAAACAAAAAAACATTATGCCTGATTTTGATGGAGGAATAGTTTTGTAACATAGTTTAAACGGGAGAATGTTGATTTTTAGTGGTGGGCTGTTATCAGTGTTAACGCCAGACTCTCATCGGGCGATAGGAAAAATATCACTGTTAATTTATTCTCACAGTTGGGTTAGGAGCTGTATCTATACTAATGATAACTTTCACCTTGATATTTTAGCACGGGGTGAGAAGGAATCAGTTTTCCAACCTGTGTAAGCGTACTGTGAAAATAGATTAATTTCTTTTTTGCTAAATTAAAGATCTAAGGTTGTGTGAATGGTAGATCTATTATTTATTTACAGTATTTATCTTATTTCTCCCTCCTACTCGTCAGGCCGCCTCCTTCTGTGATTAACAAGGAGAAGCAGCTGCTGTGGTTGATCTGATTGTTTGGTGAAAGAGTGAAACAGTTTTCTACCATCAATAGGTAAGGAAAACACCTTCTGCAACCAAAAAAGTGCTTTTTATATTCAAGTGAGTCGAAAAGCTCCTCATAAAAACCACTTTGGAATTTTTTTTTATTTTTGGGAACTTATAATTTAGCAAGAGTAGCCGTATCAAGTAGAAAAACTTCACTGATAACTTGAACAAAAGCGCAAAGTTGGGGGATCCAGTCGTTCACTCACAGACGAACAAAGAAAGTAGCCAGCAGGCTGTGACTAAAATCAGCTGACTGAGTTTATCAATGAAAGCACTGCTGTGCTGCAAAGAAACAATTGATCACTACTTAAAGCAGAGTTGTTAATTTTGGAAAAGGATTGTGACTATGAAGGATGTTTGTTGATTAACTTTTTCGAAAGCAAATGGCTCTGTGTGATACTTAAATGATGTCTGACCCTGAAACTCCGCCTGAATCTTAGAACATGTTAAACATGGATGCAGCAATAAAGACACCAAGTTTGCTTCAGGAAAACATATTGAACATGTTTCCAACCATCTGCTTTGGAAACCTGTTCAAAGACTTACTTTTACTTATTTAGGAAGCACACACATATGCATTTCTTTGGCAGAATTCAAATGAGTGATTTTGATCTAGTTTAATTCCAAGATTATAGTGAGATTAATCTAGATTTAAAAAAATTATGCCCACCACTATTTATTCTGCATAATATAGGCCCTTTTAAGCACTCTGTCTTTTTACAGTATTAATAGAAATGAAAAAGACCAAGATTAATTTTATATAAAGCTTTTCCAGGTATACTCATTACTCAAAGTCAGACTTCAAAAATATCCACACATTTATTCACCTACAGTACATGACGACTGGCAGGTAATATAAAGTGAGAGTGCCTTGGCCAGGCCACATCAACATGTTATAGAAGGAGGCTGGAAATGATTCTTACAGCATTTACATAAAAATTCTTGACTCTCCTCTTAGCTAGACTTTAGCAATTCACTGAATTCGTAATTTTTTCCTCAAAGTTCTATTGTCATTATGTTGTTTCTTTTGGTTTATGCATCCCATTGTAATTATCTAACGTTTAATGTGTGACTCATCTTCTTGCCCTGTTTTCTCCTGAAAAAGATGCTAAGATGCTTAGATAAAAACGTCTGTGACAGAAATAATAAAAATGTAAATATTGTGTGACCTGCTCTTGCATGAGGTCTTTGAGCTGCGTGATCTTCTCTGTGTCTTCCGGGTGGCTGGTGATGTAATCCTTATCAAAGAAAGCCTAGTAAAAAAAACAAAAAAGGAAAAAAAGGTAATTTTATACTTACTGAAGGGTTTCTGCTAATGTTTGTATTGAGCTATTACACTTTTACAATGCTGTATTACAATTTTTAACAAAATTAAGAACCAGACCTTTAAAAAATTTAAAGGAAAGCTATTTTTAAATGGTTATAAATGATCAAATGATCAGCTCTTGTGCTTCATAATAAAACTAGAAAATAAAAGATTTTTTCTTTAAAATCTTGAAATGACCAGGCAGCCAAAATAAAACCTAAAAATAAAAATTATTAACTCTCATTACAGAGTTTGTTTGTGGTTTTTTAAAGTTTGTTTTTGTCAACCTCCTGGTATCTAGCGATGCCTCCGTTCACAGCAGCGTCGATGACTCCATTCAGCGTCATGCTGAGCAGGTTGATGTTCCCGTGCAGCTGCTTGTGCTGGTACTGACTGATCAGAGTCCGCAGCTCTTGGTTCTTGTTTTCCACCACAGAGATGGCGTTTTCCAACGGACTCACCTCCACCTGGGATGGATGATGGAATCAGAGAAATGGATTTGGATGGCAATATTTTATTGTCTTTGCAGTAAAATCTCTCACAGCCTCCTCATAATTGATAAAATAATAAAGTGTTACGCATATGGATGCTCTTTTGATGTTAATTTTAGTGGGCATGCTTTTACAGAATGTTTTTTTCAAAATTTCACAATTTCAATATGGATTTTAGCACAAATTTCAAAAGCCAACCTTAATATTATAAGCAAAAAAAATTACATCTAATTATGTAAATAAATTCAGAAGACTAAATGAAGCATCCTTTATCAGCTGCAGTTCCAAAATGATTACTTTTTAAAGCCCCTACGTGACCAATGTTGCATTCTCCCTCTAAATGAAACAACAGGTGTATGGATTAACTTGTTTTATAAATTAAAATGTAAAATATAAGATTTTATATTGTAAACAAAGTCAAATATCTCCCATTGGCGGCTCTAGTCAAAGTGCAGTAAAACTCAGAGATGCAGATTTAAATGTTTCACTTTTAGGAAAAAGGACTGGGACTATTGTCAGCAAATAAAAGAAAATATTTTTGTAATTCCTTTTTTTTATCCAGTCTTTGAAAACTGCAGAATTTTATTCCTCAGATTTTTAGACCTTATAGGAAAAAGCAACTACAGAGTTTCACAGCACAAATTTACAAAAAATAACAATATTCTAATTTTAAATGCAAACCACATCTCTAGGTTTGTGGGATTATAATAAAGCAATTTTCTCCAACTGTTGAAATAAGATGCTGATCTATTAACAGTGGGAGTCATTTTGCATAGGAGAGATGTTTAGTTCACTCACCAATTCTCTCTTTTCTACCTCAAACCAGCGGGAAATTCCTGGCAGAGGGTGTGTGAGGATCAGAGTAGTTCTTTCTATCCAAAGACTCTGAAAAATAAAACAAAACACAAACTAATATAAATTGACTGAATCTATAACCTCCCTGCACAAGTTATGCCTTAAACTTTTTTCTTTTTTTGTGAAGAATCAGCAACAAGTGGGACACAATCATGAAATAGAATAAAATTTATTAAATATTTTAAACTTTTTAAACAAATAAAAAAACAAAAAAATTGGGTGTGCAAAATAATTTAGCCTCCTTCAGTTAATACTTTGTAGTGCCACTTTTTGCTATGATTACAGCTGCAACTCATTGCAGCTGTAATCATATGTCTCTATCAGTTTTGCAGATTGAGAAAGTGACATTCTTGTCCATTGCTCCACAGCTGAGGCTCAGTGATGTTGGATGGAGAGCGTTTGTGAACAGCAGTTTTCCTTCTTTCCACAGATTCTTGATTAGATTCTGGTCTGGACTTTGACTTGGCCCTTCTAACACCTGGATATGTTTATCTGTAAACCATTCAATTGTAGATTTGGCTTTATGAATTGGATCATTGTCTTGTTGGAAGATAAATCTCCATCCCAGTCTCAGGTATTTTGCAGACTCCCAACAAATGTTCTTCCAGAAAGGTCTTGCATTTGGCTCCATCCCTCTTTCCATCAGTTTTAACCATCTCCTTCCTGTCCCTGCTGAAGAAAAGCTGGCCCAAACCATGATGCAGCCACCACCATGTTTGACAGTGGGGCTGGTGTGTTCAGGATGGTGAGTTTTGTTGCTTTTACGCCAAACAAATGTTTTGCATTGTTGCAAAAAAGTTCGATTTTAGTTTAATTGAGCACCTTCTTCCACCTGTTTGGCGTGCCTAATCCACTTTTTATGGATGTCTTCAAGAAACAACTTTCTTCCATAATGTCTAGATTTGTTCTGTGGACAAGTGATTGTTGTCTGGACAGAGTTTCCCACCTCAGCCGAAGATCTCTCATCTCTGATCAGTCTTCTCTTTGTTTGAGCTGAAAGTTCAGAGGGACGGCAGGTCTCTGTAGATTCACAGTGGTCTGATTCTCAATATTATCACCTGCACAGTGCTCCTTGTGATGTTTAAAGCTCAGGAAATCTTTTTGCGTCCAAATCCAGCTTAAAACTTTTCTGAAAAACTGTTATGGCATGTTTAACTTGGAAGTCTTTTAGGTTAACATTGGATCATTTAGAGATATATATTTTGTTTGAAAAATTAGTTTACATAAAAAAATAGTAGCATTTGCATACAATATTCAAAAGATGAACTTTGTTTTTACAGAGCAGTATATGTGTAATAAAGTCGTATGAGTTAAACTCCTTGGTGTTTACCTTAAACTCGTTTTCTCTGTCTTTGGGTCCTTTGTGGAACGGACGGTCATAACGAAATCGTCGAACGTTGTTCACTCGATAAAAGCTCTTGATACGGTCTGGAACTCTGTCCATCTGAAGGACAGTGACGCTTTCTGGAAATGGTGTTACAGCGTAAATCTGGAGGTCTGAGCCCAGAAGGTCAAAGATCTAATCAGACATGTGGAGTTCAGACCCAGTTGTCGTTAATATTATTTAATATATATGTGAAGATGCTGCAGCATTATGGCTGAAGGATACACTGTGCATCACACTGCAGAATGGCCTCATCAGGCTGATTCGGGTGTTGCATTGCAATGGCTTGTGGGAATTCTCCCAGCATCCTTTGCTGGAAGGCTTCTAGCCTCTCATAGTCATGGCCACGACAGACAAACTCTTTGTTCTGGTGTGAAAGAGAAAGAAAATAAAAAAACAAAGGTTCAATTGTGATGAGATATTTAATGGGAAATGCACATTTTTCAATATAATGAACCTTTTCATGCTCGACTTGAATGAGCAATAAAATGGTTTGATTCTTCCAAACATTGGACTCACTCTGAGGAAGAAAGGAAACTTTCTGCCATAGAATCCCACCCTGAAGAACTCCGGCTCCAGACGCTGCTGCTCCATAATATTGTCATAATAAGCTGCTTCCATTTTCTGCAAACGCAGATCATAATGGAAACATCTTAAATTAACCTCATTGAAAGAACTATAAAATTATAAATTAAATCATAATCATAACATAATATTTTGATTTTATATATATATTACACTCAATATTGAAATAATTATGAAATAATTATTACTTAAATGCAAAAGAAATGTTAATGTGTAATACTGTAACAATCATACTAAAACTTTACTATGTCTGCTGATCAAAACAAACTCTATAAATACTTCTTAAGCATAATATTTGTTACTGGATTAATGATGATCATGGTTTCTGATGGAGCTCACCCGTATCCAGCTGAGACTCTGGTAGTCATAGAGAGATTCATACTGGAAAGCCAGTTCTCTACAGAGAGGAATCCCATATTCCCAACACTAGAGATAAAAAAAACCCCACATAAATAAATATTTCATTTGTATTTTTTTCATTATCAAAAGCTGAATTTATTTCTGAAAAAATATGAACTAAAAATAAATAATGGTTAAATTTACATTACTTAACTTACTGTATAAAATGGAAAAGCAGAAATATTTCAAATATATCACTTATCATAGCAATTAAACCTTGAATAAAACTGTTAGTTGCTTTTATTTAGGTATTTATCCTAACTTGTTCCTTAAAGATGCAAAACACCAGTAACTAGAAAGCATTAATAGAACACAGAGCTCGACCAAGCAGCTCATCCCACAGAAATGCTTTGAAAATTCCAATAAACACCATATTCTGTGATTTCTCATATATATTGTGGTTGTAGATTTTCCTCACCAGTCTGCCATCCATTAAACCTAACTTTACAAGACTTATACCTAAACCTAAATAAGTCTATGGTGAAACAGAAATCATATCCCATGAGTCATAATATATGATGGGACCAGCTTCATGAATAGGCCTATTTCTAATATGTTTATGGAGAAGTGGGGGAACTGGATCGCATTCAACCACAGGTTTGTCTCTGTTGGCCAAATATCTTCAGTTATTTATTTCTGCAGCTCTGGCGCCCCCTAGGGGAGGCGCACCTCACAATTTGAAAGTCCCAGTTCAATGGCAACATTTCAAAGAACCCTTACAAAATCCTAAACCTGAATTGCAATATGGATCCGGGTTATTAATTGAGCATGTGCATTACCTCCAAGGCTGACACGATAACATGACTGAGCTTTATATGCTGTCATCTTGAATAGGCTTGTTGATTTTTCGGACAGACTGCGTGTGAGAACAAACCTTTCCCTTGTTGAAATAGTGGATGACTTTGCGGCAGAGACCCTCCTTCCGGTGCCACTCAGTCTGAGCAGGATAATGCAGGAACTCTTTAACTGGTCGCTCGTCCCAGTGCAGCAGCTCCCAGTACAACAGCAGGGTGAATGCAGCCTCTGCAGCCGATCAGACAGTATCAGTAACACCTTCTTAACATTTTATTTCTGCATACATTGGTTTGACTTTTTATACCAGTGTAGTTCTCAGCCTGCAGATGCATGTCACACAGTTTGTGGATATAACGGATGTACATCTCCTCTTTGTTGATTTCTGACTTGTAGAAATTCTGCAGAATAAAAATAATTATTCCTCTTATTTTTTACAATGTAATAACTAACTGAGCAAAATATGAGCTTTGCTTAATCTTACAAGAAGATTCACTGTGCAGCCAATCTTCTTGTTTTCTGTCTCATCTCCCTTCATACAGTCCCTGTTAAAAAAACAATAAAATTTAAAGTTAACCCTTCTATTTTAGTAATTGTTTGGTTTCCCCTATATACTTTTAAAATGATCTGCACACCTATATAAAGGATGTAGATTTAAAGTACTTTTCACAGAGACTATATTGTATTTCACCTGTAGTCCAGCAGCCGCTCCATCAACCGTGTGACCGACGTAACAAATGAGATTCCTGTTTCTTTCCACGTCTCCTGCTCAATCTTCTCCAACAAACTGAGAAGAAAACATGAACCAGTCAGAACAATGGGCAAAACATAATTTCATGTTGGTGACAAACCTAAAGAGCAATCTGACATCCTTAAAAACTGAATTTCCATTTCTACATCTGCCTTTAAGAAACTGATTTTGATTTGAAATTGAATTTTAACTCAAACATAACCTCCATTAAGACTGAGCTTATGTGAAAAATATCACAAAATGTAAATATCATACAATTTGTAGTTTTCAATTTTCCTGAATAGACACATGAATTTCTGCAGTTTGTTTTTCTGATGTAATCTAAAAGTAAAGGACTCCATGGAAGAACAGGATCAGTGATTATTTGGAAATGAGGGAAAACCATTAATATTCAATGTTTTTAAACTCACAGGTTGGTGTTGGAAATTAAGTTTGGGTCATTTTGAAGAATAGATTTTTTTTTTATCATGATATGAAAGTGAACATATCATCATCTTATCATCAAAAAACTGAAATTAAATGTTAAGTGTAAAGCATACTAAGAATCTCAGTTTGCTTTTTTAAATATATATGTATCCACCATTAATACAGTAGATGACTTGTTATCCTTGATGGCAACATGAGGAAAATATCTTAAAGTAATCAACAAACTACTTTTTTAGCCATAAACAGCTTTCTATAATGATTAAGGTTAAATCATATTTGATAGCTTTTGGAATAATTATAATAAAACTGATACTCTTACAACAAAGATCACCAAAGCAGAAAAAGCTGGTGAGCTTCCTAGATGTTAGTACTGTATGCACAAATTATGGATTTTTCATCATCATCAGAAAAAAACAACAACAACAAAAAAAAAAACATTTCCTTATTGAAAACCCTTTCAGCTCCAGAATCTAAGAGGATGAACCATCCATCCTCTACAAAAGCTAGGGGAATAGTGGAGGGCCCAATTATGCTTTACTTAACACAGATGACTCAAGCAGGCAGTAAGCAGCCAGACCATTGAGGTCAATCTGGCTGTTGTATGTGAGTTTAATGTTTCATTATCAGCAGGTAAGTAGAATTTTTTTTCACAAGTACCAATCTACCATTGTGGTGAATCTAATTTAAGCTAAACTTGTGATAGGTCTCCTTTTAAACCCCTCATAGGGTTCCGGGCTGATAGATTTTTATGCTGCAGCTCTCAGACAACATTTTCTTTGTTCCTCCTCACTGGAAAAAACCTCTGAAAGTTTTCTCTTTCTGAACTAATATTCAAGCTAAAAACTCTGCTATTACTTTTTTCATCTGGTTTCATATCCATATTCCTGTATATGAAAATTACTATTTTAAGTTATGTAAAAAAAATAAATAATCATGAACTGTTGAGGCATCAACTCCAACATCAGCTAGTACTAGGTACCAGGGAACACTTTTATCTGCAGATGGAAGCCTGTAACTTTCATCAGGGCCATTACAAAATATAAAACTGTTTGTGTTCAGATAAAAAGTATAATATGGGGAACATTAGAGAGAGCCAATCAAAGATTCACAGAAGCTAAATTGAATGGGATAGTTTTTCCTGACTGGTTGCAGTAGTGCATAAAGCAAATTTAAGTTTAAACCCTTACCTTTTGAAAGGGGAAATGAGCTTACTCATCTAACAGGTTTTAAATGCCAAATCTGCTCAGGAAAAAACAGAAAACTAGATTTTTGCATCAAAGTAATTTTGATGCCAAGTTCTTTAATTGTTGCTGAATGCTTCCCCTCACCAAACCTTTGTCTCTCCGTACGCTTTGGATGTCTGCTATCTTTTGACTCTGCAAGATGAATATAAATTTCCTACAATTGTCTTCCCTTCATTGGAATTGTTGATTGTTTCCAATCAGCAGAGATCACACAACCATTAAAACCCAACATACAGACTTAGTCCACCACATGAAGACTTCTGTGTGTTTAGCACGTTTTGAGTTATAATCTTAGCAGTAAGGATCTCTGTGTATGTGATAGGGTTACCTGGGATAAGGCCCAAACAGCTGGGTTCTAGTCCCGCAGCAAAGAGCAAAGCAAACAGCAGAGAGCAGAGTTACAGCAGAGGAATAGGGAGTTAGTTTCTTTTATCACAGAGAGAGACAGAATGGATGGGTTTAAAAAGTCAGCTGGTGGGAGTTAAGAGTAAAAAACAAACTCTGTGTTCCTTACAGCAACCCAAACAGCTCTCTGTAGTTCTCATCACCCTTTCCCTCTGACACCAAACTGTCCAACTTGTCGATCAGTTCAGCCTCCACCTGCACATTCAAAGGGAGGGAAACAAACTCCCTATGTATGGTTTTATAACAGAGCAGAACTCTTCTGTTTCTTGGATATGATCATGGGAAATGTGAGTCTGCACACATCTATGTATACCTGTTTGAAGTTTCCATTTTTACGCTGCTCCCAATCCATCATGTCGTGGAAGATCGGAATCATGATGTTTCTCACCTCCACCTGAGGGACCAGCGTCACTCCGAGGAACGGTCCGATCATACCGGGAATGAAGTGGATCTTATTCTCTCCTAAAATAATGCACAGGTGCATTAAAATTAGATTTTATAAGTTATCAATTCTACTAGTGCACATTTAAAGCAAAAACTCTGAAATCATTACATGATGTGATAAAAGCTGTGAGTAAATATCTAGCAGCTACTCAAAAAGATTGATAAATATTCAAGCTATAATAAAAACAATTCTCACCCAAATTCTGCCACATGTTGAAAAGTTCATAAGTCATCATTACCCTCATGTCACCATATCTGGAAATACAAAAAAATGAAGAAAACCAATTATTTCCTTATATACTTGATCAAATAATAATTACTTTACAGTTTTAAAAAGTTTAGGACTACATTGCTCATTACTATAAGTGTATTTTTCCTCCCTAAAATTTAGCAGCGATTATCCTCCTTCTGTTGTATTGAAACTTCTTTCACCAGTGTTTAATATCGTGCATATTTCATTAGTATTTGCACCTGGCACAAATGTCACATGTCAGTCAATTCCTTTTAGTTTAACTAAATATGAATTAAAAGTATAGAGGACGATCTTTTATTTCCAGGGGGATTATCTATATAAATGGTCCTCCTAATTGTCAATCATTCTGGTGATATGTTTACTTAAGGCCGTCCTACGTGCTCGTCCAGTTAGCTATATTTTTCACTGATTGCACACTTTCAGGCGTATATCTGTGGTGAGCTATAGTTTCAGACAGTCATTGAAGCTCACCTTCCTCACCAAGGTTCTCTAAAATTGGCCGAGGGTCGTAAGATAAAAAGTGTCTAAGAAGTGTATGAAAAGAAAAGAAAGGCCTCAGAAGAGGCATATATATCCCAGAATGCTTTGCATGGAGAGCTCTCCTCGCAAAGCATTATGGGATTTGCTGTCACCACCGTCGCTATAGGCTGTCGCCACCTGAGATGCCGCAGGCACCTCACAGTAGAGAAGTGATCATCTGTCCGAATGGTAAGTTAACTAAGTTCACTATTTAGTCTCCCCTCTATATTTATTGAGGGATTTAGTGTTTACGTTGGAGGTTCTGACAGTAAGCTTGTATGAGCTATGAGAACAGCAACTTTTAAACATTGTGCACAAGGAGAAATAGGCTTGTGCATGCTCTCACATGTGCATTTAAAAAATAAAAAATTTGAGAAAGTCCTCCACAATACCTTTGAATTATCAGACAGACGGAGATGTTCAAAGTATATCTATTAACTGTCTTGTCTCCTTTTATATGGAGTATTAGAAACAAAGAGAATTACAGATGTCAATCAAATCTGGAGGGAAATGATCCTTCCTGGAAAACAGGGAGATTTTTTCACAATAATAAAGTGTTTTAATGTGTTTGCAGTCTTTGAGGAGTTCAAAGATAGGAGTAGTTTCTTGCAGCACCTAGGAAAATCTGTAACTTGCAATATTTCAAATATTTCTAATATGTTTGAGTGAGTCTACTCACTTGTCTAAGATCTTCTTCCTCTTAGCAGGACTCAGGTTTTCCAGCTGTAAACTCGGCTGATTGATGTAGAGAACGGCCAGACTGAAGTAGGAGTTCCACACCTGCTCACGCACACACAGAGGCATTGAAGCACAGGCTTTATTTATGTCCTTAGATGGTGAGCTCTAGTAAGATCCACCCGAATAAATGTTTAAGGATGTTAAATGTAAAAAGATCATCAGAGTTTTGCAATTGTATCTCCCTTTGGCAATATAGTCTTTTCCTCTTGTAAGTTTATTACAGATTAGAATTTTATAATATTCTGATTTTCATGTCTTTGTGCTGATTCATATTGTTCTCATGCTTTGAAGATTTCAGAGAAAATTCAACTACTTTTAAAAGCTATTTCTTTATGATAAATTTATGATCGACCATACAGAAAAAAACAGCAGAAAGTTAACTTTCAAGGCAAATCAAACATGTTATTCTCACTATGTTATTGTAATCTGTACCTTGAAGTCAAAGTCTGTTTCAGCAAAGTTCTTGTGCAAAGCTGGAGCGAGCTGCTGAGCTGTGGTCAGGATGATGCTGAACAAAGAGAGCAAGGATGTGACTGGTGTTAGTGGCTGCTGTTCTTTCCTTAGTTTAAAGTTTTTATTCATTTCCACGCTGGTGGATGTCTCAGCTGTCTCCCAGATTGTTTCTGTGTCTTACTTGCTGGTCAGCAGCCTCATGATGTTCCAGTCACGAGGAAAAATACTGAGCTTCATCAGGTTTCTGAAGACACACAAAATCTTCAACAAGAACTCCTGTGAGATGAGAAAGAAGAAGCATCAGTGTGGCCCATAATTTAGCATTCCTAAATGCTATTATCATGTAATTATATATATTTGAACTTCAACAGGTTTGAGTCTCATATGTTATTACCAACGTGGTATTTAGGTTGTACCTTGAGCTCATCCTTGCTTTGAAAATTTTCCATCAAGCGTTGAAAGTGGATGTCGGTCATCTGGCGGAGAAGGGAAAGGAGGCAGGAAACGTACTCCCCCTACCATAAAGGAAGAACGGGACAGACATGTGAGCCAATCACATCAGTCACAGGCATCAACGGACCAATTGGGGAAAAAGATGAGAAGCTTGTTCCTAAACAACACACTACCGCCATAGGACAACATTCATTTCTGTGGAGGACAAAAAGTATGTCTATTATGGTCAACTATTAAATTTACCTCTGATCTCCAAAACTAAGGGGAATTATTTATTACTGTATTTATTTGAGTCCTCAAAATAGTGTTGAATGTGTTTTGTTATTTTCCTACGATGTTGTGATTTATGGAGCTGACAAACTGGTTCCTTTTGTTATAAATATTTTTCTTCATGGCTACAAATAATGAAAACCTCCTATCCTGAACATGTCTTGATTAAAGATCTTTAAAAAGAACAAAAATGATTAGGGAACAGGGTAATTTGGGAAAAATGGATAAAAGCAAAGGAATGTAAATATGCATTTTCAACCTGATAATATTTTTTATCAGTAAACTGTTCTTAAATCCGTGTTTCATCTCCTTTCTTCTCCTCAGCGAAGCCCTTCTTTGTGTGTTACGTCCAGAATACTAATAAAATACATTGAGGTTTGTCTTGGAAACATAAAAAAGTGTTAATTGTTTAAGGGGTGCAAATAAGTCTCACTATAATAAAACAGGATGTAGGGGCACAAGAAACATTAAATGCTAATATTGAGGCATGCAGGCATTCCAGGCATGATTTAGAGGTTGGGGTCTAATAAGAACAGTAACGATGCATGGCAGTGATGACTGGATGGATTAGGACAGGGCAATATGAAATACTATTTTACTTTTTATTCTCTGTACTCAAGATTAAAGCCTCAATGTATTAAACTTTGTCAAAAAGTAGCCTGTAACCTCCTGAACTATAGATCACTGTAAGAACTGAGGGTAACCATGTTTAATATTGCCCAGCCCTAAACAGTGAGGCAGCATGACCAGGGTGGAGGGTCAGATCAGGGAGGAGGGCGGTGAAGTAGTAGTCATATTGTTAGTTACTAACAGTGATCTCCGCGGTGCACTGCGGACAGCGTTGACCTCTTACCGCCTCCTGCGATTGGCTCTTGCTCATGATGGCCAGAAGTGTCTGCAGGAGGACGTCCAGCAGAGATTCCACCATCATCTCCACCTCTTCCTGCACCGACGTGTCCTGGAGGAACAACAGATGGGGAGCAAACGTGGAGTGAAGGAAACAGTTTGAAAAAAAATTTCTGAGAAATTTGAGTGAGGGGGTGATTATATATGAGGTGCATGCAAAGGAAAGAGGAAGACAAAAAAGGAAAGTTAATATGAGGAAGATAAAGTCAAGTTATGAATCAAGGTTTGCTGTTGCTACCTTAATGCCATTCGGTAAATAATATTGAAATTTTAATAAGATTTATGTGAAAACTCCTGCTTTCTCTAACATCTCACATTTACCCAATACTTCGCTTTTAGTTAAAAAAAACAATACTTTTTGTCAGTGGGAAGAAGGATATAGACTTGTGCATAGTCTGTAGTTACAGACTGATTCATAAAACCGAATGTAAGTCAAAACCCACACTGCTTCTTTCAGAAAGCTCATGTTCTTAGTAGAAAGTTGGTTCAGCGATTCTCCCACTTTATCCTAATACCCTAAATAGATCCTGGAAGCAGGAATGTTAGTAGAAACAACAGTAACACCTTTGATGTTGCAACTATATGGACTGGCAAAGGGCTTTTGGAATAAACTGATTTTAATTAAAAAAAAAGCAGATATATTATCAGGTCTAAGAGAAGAATGAACATATGAAGTGTTTCACCAATTACTGTTGTGTTGTAGATGCAGAAAAGTGACAAATGAAGTCTGGTTCTGAACAAGGTTTGTAGCTCTTAGGTTAAAGCAGGGGATAGAAATCAGACGGCCTGTAATCACCTAAAGGACTTAAAGGTTTTAAAGAGAGTGAGGAACTAAATTCTTTCCTTTTATCTTTAATAAACCATGTAAGCATGTCCTGGAAGTTTCAGGTTTTATTGACTTAAACTTTTTTTCAATATTCATCCCCTGGTCCTAAGATATCCCCAGTAACCAACTAGTTTGTATAGTAGAATTTGCATCATTTTTATTTATCACTTCATGCATTTGTGTGTTTTTGGCAAAGTTAAAGTTTAGCTCATAAGTGAATAGGTGTTTAATCAATAATCAGTTTACTTATTTATCCTATCCGTGATAAGTGGTTGTTAATTCTTCTTACAAGCTTATAAATGTAGATACATTTAGGTTTATATCTTAATCTGTACAGTTTTTGATGCAGCATTAAATCATTCAGATGTGTCACAAACAGTGGATGGTAGGTATGTTATAGTTGTTGATGTTCTCACAGTAAAATATAAATTAACTGAAGAATGAAGTGAAGAGTTTTTTATATTTAAAAAAAAGAAACTTTATTTTGAAAGGAAACTTCTGTTTAGTTTAAGAAGCTAGTGTCCGTCTGATGATGTTACTGCCACCCTTGAGGAACAAATAAGAAACTTCAAGCTGAGTCTGTTTGAATGTTTCTGTAACTTCTAAGATAAATATGTAAATATCATGTGAAAACTCAGATGTGTTTTCTGCATATGTTTTATTCATGTGTATACATGGGTTACCAGGGAGCTGCTCTTGATGATGGAGAAAATGGAGCTGAGTATCCCTGAACAGATGAGCAGTTCTTTCTGTTGCCTCAGATGAAGATGGATGTGATGAAGGACCACTGGAAGCAGAATCCTACGAGACTCTGAAGGCATAAAGACGCACAGGTTAAACAGCCCCTCATTATGTGTCATTTATTGAGATGAATCCATTATTGACAAGCAATGATTCAATAACTTATCTGATAAATCTTATCACGTTTGTTTTGTTTTCAAAGGATCTTTTTTAATTTTCAAAGACAGTTTTCATTGACTTGTTGGTGCTTATTCTAATTAAAATGATAATTCATAGTACCTTAGTTTTATGTTGGAAATATTAGACAAAAAATAAGAATTAATAAGAGAAAGTATTTACCAGGGAAAGAGAAGAGCCTGCTGTCCACAGTTCGAGCGATCGACTGCAGCTTCACCACATCCATTGATTGTCCAATGTGCACCGTGGACGGCATGCTGCCCAAAGTGCCACGCACAAACTCTGCCACCTCCTGCACCGTGAACATCTGCAGCAGTTCATCAAAGATGGCAGGGAATGAGTTTAACAGTGCCGCCTGAAGAAGAGGAAAAGAGGAAGAGAGAAATTAAGAAAATTAGGTGGATATTTAAATAATGACACAGGTGAGGGATGAGGGAATGAAGATTTATGCTAGAAACAGAACAAGGGGTTAAATGGTGTCTGTTTCTGAGAATGCGATGAAAGAAAGGTGCCCCATGGTTTCTGTAAAAAATACTAAAAAGAGCAGAACCTAGTTACTGTGAAAAACTGAATCCAAAAAGTCATAACATTTCTTCATCACACACAGGTGTGCAGCTCATGCAAGTCTGTCCCACTTCACAGCATGATATTAGACGCATTAATAACTCTACTTTTTGTTTGTGGGCTTTAAATGTCTTTGAAACAGCATAAATCATTTAGATTACTTTTTGTTAACCTATTTTAAAAGATAAACAGCAGAAAGGAAAGAGGAGGGAAAAACCTTACACCTGTTGGGGAACATTTATAAAGATTTTCAGTTAAGCAAGAGTTAAACCAAAACTGAACACTTAAAAAAATAGGAAAACTTATCTGAGTGATAACCATCCACAATCACTGGCTTTTACATTAGAAAATCCATGCTGTTGATAGAATTTGGGAAGTTAGTTGCAAACATAACGTTTCTCTGGTTTCTGAGTTGCTTCACCCAAAGGTTGAGGTCAATCAGACTGATTTTACTTAAATACTAAAAATACTACATGACACTACTTGAAAGACTTGTGAGTCAAAAGGTTGCTGGTTCTATTTCATTGTTTAATGTTACATGTCACTGTTATCTGAGTGGACTGATAACAGTGAGATAACTCCAAACAGCCTTATTATCTGACAGATCAGAAAGTGACTGACTGAATGGAGCTACACCTCTGCAGGTTGCTTTATTTAAACAAAAGCAGGTAAAAATAATAAAGGCCTAATCGAATCCCTTCTGTATAATCCATGATGAAACTCTATCATCCATAACTGTTGTAATTTTTTGTGTGAATTTTTTTCAGCCTTATCCTGACATGGCCATTTTGCAGAGGTTTAAAGCTTTTTAAAGCCACAGCCTGGTTTCATGTTCATGGCTTAATAGATAAAGACTGTTCAGATATATTGTTGTATCTCAATAATAATCCATTTAGCTCTAACAGAGTAAACAGAATGAATAAGATGAGGTTAAATTGGTACAAAAATAATAGCATCTCTTATTAGCTAAATCAATAGCTCTAAAAAGTAAAGCCTTTTTTTGTTATTTTTAGGTAAGTCCATTGCTTAGCACCTGAATATTTAGAACTAGATCAAAATTTATAGACTTGAAATAGTTTTTCTTCATCCATCAATCTTTTTATGAAATAAAGTTATTAAAAATAATAATGTCCTGCAATATGTAGCCAGTAATTTTACCATTGTGGTGAGAAAAAAAAATCAATCTCCTATTAATTCCCTTTTCAATATATTGATTTACTAGTGCTGAGTTTCATTCTTTCAGGCCTCAGTGCTGTAAGGCTGAAAGGTGTCTGAGGGAGAGGGGTTGTTCATCCTATTAGGGGGTGTTTGGGATGAAAATAAAGGTTCTCATAACAAGCTAGACTTTCTCAGGGATTATTTCATAATGTTATGTGTTGATTCCAACTGTCTGTAATTGTTTGGGTAACGATATGTGGAGACTTTCACAGTTTTCCTGCAGGGTTTCAATTAATGAGACAAAGTTTGACTAACCAGAGCAGGTCTGGACCATTATGTTCTCTTTTACTTTGCAAAGAAAATAAAATGCAGACTGATTGAAATCCATCGATCTCCGTTTATTTAACTGGACTGTATAGTAGTTGAATACCTTTTTCTGAACACACCATCAACTAACAAAGAATATTGATCTTGTCAAAATCTGGCATCTGTTTAATTTTATTGTTTCTTTACTGAGACAAGCTTTGTTTAGAGGAAGGAAGGCCTTCTTTCCATCATCCTAATCTTTTGCTCCCTCCACTGTTTTCTGTTACATTCAAGTTCAGACTTTGGCCAGGGCCGTCCAAAATATTAACATAGTGTTCAACCAGAAAAAAACCCCAACCAAACAAACAAAAACTTAAATCTTATTTTGTTTTATGAATAATTTTGGAATTTTTAACATTTATGTTCAACATTTAGAAACTGATGCACCTATTTCTGTTGTTGTTACAAGGGATGTGGATTTATGTAGGTGGGCATGATGTGATGTAGTGGCTTTGTAGACCAGTGAGTATGGTTCATCGGTGCAGGGCAAACAGAAATGTGTTCAAATATGTGACCATGAGGTGCAGCAGTAAAGGCGTTTATGCATAAGGCTCACAAACTGCTGGAAAGATGAACAAGAACTTTGGGCTTCAAACAACAAACTGGGAGTTGTTGCTTTCTTCCAGTCGTCTACTTACTGACAGCGATGGCGGCCGTAGAGCGTTGGAGCTCCAGGCCTGAGAGCAGCTTGGTGGGATGCTCCCAGGTACCTGTCCTGGGACAGGAGTCTGGATTTGGCTCAGGGCAGAGACTACTGCTAATGGGCCAGCAGGCCCTGAGCAGGGGCCTGGAGCCTGACTGCCGGGGCAAGGCTGGGAGCCCTGTGGTTTATGGGTAAGAAGGAGGTCCAGGAAAAAAAACATTGGGACCCAATGAAGGAGAGTTCAGGGGGGATTGAAAAAACAGGTGAAGCGAATAAGTAAGGGAAGTAGAAAGAGATGTAGAAGGAGAAAAAGTCAAATTAAAGCAACTCATACAAAACAGCTGAGATAGAGAGCTCACAAAGAATAAGCCAAACTCAATAAATATTAATGGCCTTTATGTTTTAAGAGCAAATTAAATCGTTGTGTGAGGCACGTTAAAAAAGACGCTGCAGTTTGTGACTAAATGGGCTAACAGTCAGATGTGTTCTTGGTTTGAAAGAAGAAAGCACTGAGATGAAAAAACGCTGCTCTGTATGAGTGTTTAGAGCCTGCAGCCTCACCTGAGTGAAGATGAGAGTCTCTGAGTTGCGGCTGTCCAGGCTGAGGACGAATCGGATGGACTGGAAAAGTTCCTGGATGCTGGTTCGAAACTGCTCCTCCTCCATGCCGCAGGTGGCCCGGGAGTAAAGGATGCGAGACTGGATGATAAACTTGAACAGATACTCCAGAGCCTGATGACAGGGGATGTTCAGGACAGAAACAGGTGATATGATAAATTAATAAAGAACAACACAAATGCACAGATGACAGCTGGAAAATTAGTTAGAGAAAGTTTATTTCAGTTTGCATCAGTGATAAACAAACAGCAAGCAAACTGTTAAATGAATCTGGATTCGATTGTTTACACCATGAAAAACTACCCTCCATCTGCAACTCAAGAGAAATTCAAAACTCTGAAGCTGTTTTCATTAAACATATCAAGCATGTCATACTAACAAGAAAACTTTAAAGATGAACAAACACACAGTGTGTAAAATAACATTAACACTAACAGACAGAAACTAAAAACCACTGAGACCCATGGAGACATCTACAAGATGAGTACAAACAGGGAGAAGAGAAGCCAACGCTGTGGAATATGTGAAAAAAAAAACCTTAAATTATTAATATGTCCACTTCTATATGACAGGGTGACCCATTTGGAAATAGATGTTCCAGCCTAATTAATATTTAAAACTGCTGAGCAGCTTTGTTGGAAAAAAGTGCCACATTCTGCACATATAGTAACATGGTGCATCGATTTAAATACATTCACTGTCAGCAGAAAAAGATATTACACAAAGACCAAATGTAATTTTAAAGGAAGCATTTATTCTTTATTAATTTGGTTTGGTTTTGGGAAAGTTCACTAGTGAAAGAAAACTGTGTGGAGTGACACAGACTGCAACATTTACCAGCTTGGTTGTGTTTATCCTTTTTTCCCGATGTAATAGTGCATAATGTAATTCATCTATAAACTTTGTGGTGAACAGCTTTAAGCGTTGCTCTGCTTTGAACAATTTGAGATATTAAAACAGGGTCAGCCGTGAGTTTTCACTGGTTCTTACCCTCATAGCTTCCTGAATGTGGTCCTGTCGGACCACCTCAGCAGAACGATCCATGTACCACTTCAGACAGCGAATCAGCTCTCTGGAAAATAAAATAGAACCACAGCTAGTAATACCTGTTAGTAAACACACCACCTCCTAATCAGAGGAAGGGATTAAATTTTTAACAATTTACATTGAACTGTTTGGTCACTTTGCTTAGGCTGGGAATCAAAACATAAATCATTCTGACAAAAAAGAGAAACCTTATTAAAAAGCAATAATTCATAAAATGAGATCAACTCACTTTTCTAAAAATTAGCTAATTTTGACATCATGCTGCATCTCATAGTTCTTTGAATAATGTTTAATTTGTCTATTTGTGGAATGACTGAAATATTCCCTCCTTCAGTGGATCACACTCATCTAAAGTAGCAGCTAGAGGCAAATGAACTCACTTGTAGGCCAGAGCCCCAGCAAAATGTTTCTGGATGTATGTGTCCATCACCGGCCTGAAGTGGTAATATTTACTGTCCCTCAGCAAGTTTATGATAAAAACCTGGAAGGGAGAGAGAGAGGATTGTGAAGGAAGCACTGGAAATATTAATAAGCTTTAAGCCTTTCAAAGAGGAAAGAAATTAAGGGATTAAATCTTGCTGAAAATCCGTAACAACCAAAGTAAAAAAAACATTTATTTATTTATTTAATTTACTGTTTAAACAGAATTTGGATAAACCCCTTAGTTTGGTGAAACCCAATACCTACTGTAAGCCTCCTTTACAAGTTCAGATACAAGGGAGCTTAATCTTTTCTCTATATTCTGTATTTAACTGATTTCTAATAGCAATATATAAAGCAAATGTATAGTAGTACCCTTTTCAAATTTCCCCACTTTCCTTGATGGTACTTGGCTGGTCCCCTACAATTCCTTTTTACACATCAATCTTTGTACTAAAATATTCTTTCTGTCATAATTTTTGGACATTAAGATCTAAAAAGAAGTGAAAGGGTGGAGCCAGACAAAAAAAAAAAAAAAATCCATGCCCAGGAGAAGGCCAATGCCTGGAAGTTGAAGGGGATTTTGCTGGGAGTCGCAGGGGAGAAAGCCGCCGTTTTGAAAGGGAAGGGCCATTTAGAATGGCTGCTACTGTAATCTTTATTGAGGTTTTGAGGAAAATATAAACCTCAACTGGGTAAGATATTGTATTAATGTTTATTACTTAAAAAACATTTTTTAAAACATCATAAAAAAATTCCACAAATCAAATCCAGGACAGTTGAACGTTTTATTATTTATGACATTTCTATTATAAAAAAATGTTAAATACACTGCGTGAATAAAAACACTTTTATTACTATTCCTATATTCAAATAGCTTTATGATAGAACCTGAGGTGGAGTTATTATAAAACATTTCAACACGAAACCTAATTAAAACTGAAGTGTGTCACATAACGTCAGTGACGTTTAGTTGTAGCTAGCTAAGAGATTTTATATGAGAATATGCGGATGGTTTTGTCGTTTCAATTCTTGCCAGCTTTACAGCCTTTCCTTCAACAAACTGTCTTACCAGTGACTGGAACACAAGAGGTCCATATTTGTCTGTGTTGTCATCCAAGATGGAGAATAATGTGTCCAGAATATCTTGGAGAAACTGTAAGACACAAATAGATAGAAACATTGTTACCTAAATGTACCGGTAAGCTTGCAGCAGCTTAATTGGCCTTAAAGGAATAGTACACCCAAAACATGATTAGCCTTCATTTTCTACTCACCCCCATGCTGAACAACACTCTGGAGTACTTTTTTGATATCTCAAATGCATCTGGAGATCTGGGAGGCTTCTTGCTGTCTGCTGACATTCAAATAATGGAGGTCTATGGTGCCCGAGACAGAAAGGTCCATAAAAGTCCACAAAAAACGTGTCAATATTCCTCCATACTGCTCGTCCAATGTATTCCAAGTGTCCTGAGTGGGTAGCATCCAGAATTTACTCGAAACGAAGTCATTTAGAATGTTTTTAGAGCATAAACAGTAGTGTATAGGATTTCCTGAAAGCGCGCACATGCGCGCTCCCGACGCTACGGAAGCCGGCAGACCAAACCAGCGCATTCAGCTCGGCAAAGAACTCATGCTCTTCCTCAACACTGAAGTCCTCAGACATTTTTCTTTCGTTGTTTCTTTCTTTGCACAGGTAAACAGCACATTTCTTCTTCTACGCTTGCATTATTGGCAGAGCAGACGCTGAATGCGCACTTTCATCTGGCTTGGTCTGCCGGCTTCCGTAGCGTCATGAACGCGCCCGCGCGCGCTTTCAGGAAATCCTATACACTACTGTTTATGCTCTAAAAACATTCTAAATGACTTCGTTTCGAGTAAATTCTGGATGCTACCCACTCAGGAGACTTGGAATACATTGGACGAGCAGTATGGAGGAATATTGAAACGTTTTTTGTGGACTTTTATGGACCTTTCTGTCTCGGTCACCATAGACCTCCATTATTTGAATGTCAGCAGACAGCAAGAAGCCTCCCAGATCTCCAGATGCATTTGAGATATCAAAAAAGTACTCCAGAGTGTTGTTCAGCATGGAGGTGAGTAGAAAATGAAGGCTAATCATGTTTTGGGTGTACTATTCCTTTAATCTGTTTATTACATCACAAATCATCCTGTTTCCAGTTTCAGAGAGACATGGAGCCCCCTTTTGAAGAGAAACAACCTCATTCATCTGATAAAAGCCTTGATTATTTTTTTTTTTTATTAAGTTAAATGTTTAATTCTTTGCTTCTCTGAGTAAAAACCCAACTACAGTGCAATTAGTAAGCATTTACAACCCCTTCTCTTTTTCCACATGGTTAACCAACAGACTTAGGCAGCAACCCACCAAAAACGTTACAATTACACCAGACTAGAAACATTAGCTTCTCTTAGTCTGACAATCATTGATGTGATTTTGGTCAAATCCATACAGGCTGCAGTTTGCCTTTTGGTCAATGGTAGCTTCTGATATTCCTGAAAAGGGCCTGACTGGTGGAGAACAATAGCAGTGATTAATATTTGGATCGACTTCAGTCTCCACAGGGGAAAACTAAAGCTCCACTGATCATCTAAAAGGATGATGAGTGGAAATCAGGCATCTAAACTCAACTTTAGAGTTTAGACGTCAATCTCTAACGTTATGCTCTCTCAGCTTTTCTCATTGTAGCTTTGCCTCGTCTGTTCCCGTTTAGCTGTGACACCATCCTGGAGAGAAATATCAGCTGTGCTGCTGCCATCAACACCCTTGTTTATAGATGTTGGAGATTGGCCTGTTTTTCAGTATAGTCCTGTTTCTCTGACTCTGACTGACTAGATGTGCTTTCTTCATCCTCTGACATGGGAGTTGACTCGGAGCTCGTCTACCTGGCTGTGGCAGGCTGTGTGTGTTTCCTGGACGGGGCCGCCTTTTACAGCTGCTTTTTGTATCTCTGCTTCTGTCTCCTTGAACCCCAGTCAGCCTCTGAAGATGGTCGCTCACTTTGAAAGTCATTACTAAGGGTTTGAAAGTCATTACTAAGGGTGTGAATATTTATTGGATGAGTCTACTATATTTCAATGTTTACATCTCTTATAAAGGTACAACATTTCAAACTATTCTTCCATTTTTTTATTAAGGATTTGTATGATAAAATAAACAAAAAATGACTAAGTAATAAATGATTAAGGTGCAGGTGGCTGGCAGCTTCTGGTTGGGCAGATTGGTGAGTTAGTGGTGACTGCAGTAACAGATTTAACAAAGGTCAATGTCAGGTTAATTGCAGAGGAACACTGACTGAACATGGCAGCCAGATGGCCTTAACTGGCTATCCATCCATTACAAAGATTACTTCAGAGAACTGCAACAAAATAAATAAAGCTCAGTGAAATTAAACTGGTTTGAAATGTGCTGCCAGCAGTTTCACACCTCAGATGATGTTAGCTGCCAAACACTGGAAATCACTGCCTTGTATTAACACATCCAGGACAAGGACAGTGTATAATCACCTGAGGGATATCACACTAGAGCAAAGGAAAGGAAGCCTCTGAGCTAAGCCCAATTAAAACACAAGGAAAAACTGTAAAGCTGTGTAAACGGTTAACATAAATTTTCTCCTCGACCGGGTGGTTAAAATAGTCTGAAAATGAGACTTGGTCAGAGTTTTCCACTTATAAAACCACAACTTTAATCATTTTTAGTGAATATTGTTGATATCATGAAGGCGATGGACATAAATAGAGCCCTCCTTCACTCTTTGTCGTCTCAATGAACCTCACCTTGACGATTTCTTCTCCACTGACGTGTCGAAGACGCCCAAGGATGTCCATGACCCGGTCAGGATGGGCCTTCCACTTAAGCAGGGCCAAGAGGTCCACTTTAAATTAAAATAAGCATAATCTGAACATTATAATACTGTTTGAATAACTTGAAGCAGAAATAGGAAAAATATGGCGACTCTAAATATATTTATTAGAAACAAGTCTGCTCTATGATAATTGGCGTTAAGCTGTAAAGAAAAGGTGAGCTTTTACATTTTTCTGACAGATTGATCAATTCCCATCATGAAATATGTCCATATTTTTTTACTGCTGTTTGGTGATGAGATCAGTCAACATTTTTTTGCATGCATTGCTTAGAGGAATAAGCAGCAGTTGGACATGGTTTATTATAGATGATGACTATATGACATACTGCCTGAAAATTATTGAGCAAAATATGTTTAGCATCTGTTTTTGCAATAAAAAAAAATACATAAATAAAATTCCCTGTAGAAAATTATTTTTCACTTTCATACTAAATTCTGAGCAGACTTAAACACTAGTTGATAAATTGGGCACCGTTCTGAGTGAGTTTGGTGGAGGAGAGCTGCGTGGAGATCCAGAAGGTCTCCTTGGTGCTGCGCTGGAAGATGAGGCTGGAGGGGATGTTGGGACAGCTGTTGAAGTCGTCCTTACAGCAGGGGAGACCCAGGTAGAGGGCATGGTTACTGAAGGTTGTATTCTCATCACACTGAAACCAAGAGACCAACAAATAAAACGAACAAGGACCAGAAAAAAAGGAGAGGTTGCTCTGATTAGCATTTATTAAACAAGTGTTCCTTTATTACAGATGAATTAAACATCAACTGAAAGAAATATAATCTACTTTTCCTTCTAACAACTGAAAATAAAAAGGAAATTAAATTTCTCATCTATGGTTCAACAACCAAAAAATACTGACGCAACCCTAATTAGAAAAATGAAGAATTAGAAATTCATTGACTAGTAAACTGGATACCTGATGGTGCAAAGGAACTTTTTATTATTTTCAGACAAAATTTAAATCCCTGAGAGCAGAAATTGAATAAAAACAAAGTGGAAGAGTCAGACAAAGAGAGATGTGGTATTTTTCCAGTCTGACCTTGTAGACATAGAGCTCATGACTCTCGTCAGATAAAGTGGTTCCATCCTCCCTCATCAGTGGAGTGAAGGCAAAGCCATACAGCTTCTTTTCTCCTTTATCCTTTGCTGTAGAGAGATAGAAAACAAGAAAGAATTAAAAATATAAAGGAAGAGAATAGAAAGAGCACACATAAAAAAAAATCATCATCTTAACGTTTTAGCAACTAGACAATGAGACAAAGTTAATTGTTAAAGGTTTTGAGAACTAATTGTTTGTGCTGTCATGGTTTCTGTGTTCTTTTTCATCTGTACAGTTATCTGTTTTCTCTTCAGCCCTAATATTTTTCACAGTTCTGTTAACTCATTGTTAATAATCTACTCACTTGAGCAATGTCTGAACTCAAAGCGGAGGTGGGATCCTCTGAAACGATCGATGGGAATCGGCAGCTTGATCACTTCATTCCATCGAGGGCTGTTGTTATGGTAAAGGACGAAGGAGCGATACTCAGGGATGTTGGGCTCACCTGAACCCAAACTGATGCAGTCCTGCAGGGGGAGCCAGAGACAGTGTTCAATCACCAAAAATACATAACAGAGAGATCCCTTAATCACAATGTTTAAGCAGACAATTTTTAAATCCACAGAGAGCTGTTACCTGGGACAAAATTATTTAGTTAAATGTGAACTATTTTGATAACTCTTGCACTCATTGTTGAGGCAGCTATGATTCAAATGCAAATTAAAAAGTCTACCTCTCTGCCTGATTTTTAAATCGCTCGTTAAAACTCATCTCTTTGTATTGGCTTTCAAAACTATGTAAGATGTTGATTTTAGCCTATGATTAATTATTCTAAATAATTTTTACTTTATTATAGATTTTATAGTTCAAGATTGTATTTAGTTATTTCTTTTATGCCTTTATAATTTTTTTTTTATTTATTCATTTTTTTCTTTATCTATGTCCGACTAGTCTGTGTAATGGTCAGAGATGGGAAGTAAAGAAGTACAAATACTTCGTTACTGTACTCAAGTAGATTTTTCTGATATTTTTACTTTACTTTACTACTTATTTTTATGGCGACTTTTTACTTCTACTCCTTACATTTTTACACAAATATCTGTACTTTCTACTCCTTACATTTTAAAAAATTGGCTCGTTACTTTAGTTTTGAATCATTTCAATGGAGTTACCGTTATTATTTTTCACGTCATCAATACCAAATTCAATCTAATTGGATGGGAATCTACGTTGCATTTGACGCACCACTACAAGATGAATCAACAGATTCGGCGGTATTCATTGGCGGCAAATCATTGCAGCTTGGTGGCGGTGGCGTTAGCATAGTAGCATGGACGACGAGATGATTGAAAATGAACACAACGGAGATCTAGTCCTATTGGCAGACATCCATTTAAAATGTAGGCAACGGCATGAAAAAAGTGGTTTCTACTTTTACTTTTATACTTTAAGTAAATTTACAAGCCTGTACTTTGTTACTTTTACTTGAGTAAAGAAGTTTAATCAGTACTTCCACTTTTACCAGAGTATTTTTTAACACAAGTATCTGTACTTTTACTCAAGTACGGAAAGTGAGTACTTTTGTCATCTCTGGTAATGGTTTTATGTTTTTTCATTGTACAGCGTTTTGGACCTTAGGGAAATTTTAAAGTGCTTTAAAAATAAAGTTGGATTGGATTGGAAAATATGAGGAGAAAAAGTAATATCATAAATCATATAACTAAACTGTCATAAAACTTCTGCAATTTTATTATTATTATTTATTTATTTTTTTTACAAAAGTTTACATTACATAATAAGAATTTATTGGAGAAAGCTACAAATTGGGGTTTAGATAGGGAGTTTTTTAACCTACAACCTTGGAACAAGCAAAAAGCTGCTCTGCAACTATTGTAAGAACTTTTGTTAATAGACTAAGATGAAAATCATGTTTGTAGCGCCATTTCTTTTTTCAAATAACCAAAAACGAATTGCTTTCAAAGTATAAACCTGGTGGATTTGGGAGAAAGAATATGTACAGTTAAATAAGGTAAAATCTCAATTTAAAACATCAACTTATTATTGTTTAGAGAACGCATTTCTAATTTCCTTTTAAAAACAAAACTTATTTTAACAGAATTTGTTTGATGTAACTCTAACCTTGTTTATGAATTAATGTGGGCCTACCTGTATGAGGTCATGATGCTTTAACCATTTCCAGCATCTGCTGCACTTTTTTTTTTTTTTATATATATATATATATATCTATATATATATAGATACACTATATTGCCAAAAGTATTTGCTCACCTGCCTTGACTCACATATGAGCTTAAGTGACATCCCGTTCCTAATCCATAGGGTTCAATATGACGTCGGTCCACCCTTTGCAGCTAGAACAGCTTCAACTCTTCTGGGAAGGCTGTCCACAAGGTTTAGGAGTGTGTTTATGGGAATTTTTGACCATTCTTCCAGAAGCGCATTTGTGAGGTCGCACACTGATGTTGGACGAGAAGGCCTGGCTCTCAGTCTCCGCTCTAATTCATCCCAAAGGTGTTCTATCGGGTTGAGGTCAGGACTCTGTGCAGGCCAGTCAAGTTCATCCACACCAGACTCTGTCATCCATGTCTTTATGGACCTTGCTTTGTGCACTGGTGCACAGTCATGTTGGAAGAGGAAGGGGCCAGCTCCAAACTGTTCCCACAAAGTTGGGAGCATGGAATTGTCCAAAATGTCTTGGTATGCTGAAGCATTCAGAGTTCCTTTCACTGGAACTAAGGGGCCAAGCCCAGCTCCTGAAAAACAACCCCACACCATAATCCCCCCTCCACCAAACTTTACACTTGGCACAATGCAGTCAGACAAGTACCGTTCTCCTGGCAACCGCCAAACCCAGACCCGTCCATCAGATTGCCAGATGGAGAAGCGCGATTCGTCACTCCAGAGAACGCGTCTCCACTGCTCTAGAGTCCAGTGGCGGCGTGCTTTACACCACCGCATCCGACGCTTTGCATTGCACTTGGTGATGTATGGCTTGGATGCAGCTGCTCGACCATGGAAACCCATTCCATGAAGCTCTCTGCGCACTGTTCTTGAGCTAATCTGAAGGCCACATGAAGTTTGGAGGTCTGTAGTGATTGACTCTGCAGAAAGTTGGCGACCTCTTCGCACTATGCGCGTCAGCATCCGCTGACCCCGCTCCGTCAGTTTACGTGGCCTACCACTTCGTGGCTGAGTTGCTGTCGTTCCCAAACACTTCCATTTTCTTATAATACAGCTGACAGTTGACTGTGGAATATTTAGGAGCGAGGAAATTTCACGACTGGATTTGTTGCACAGGTGGCATCCTATCACAGTTCCACGCTGGAATTCACTGAGCTCCTGAGAGCGACCCATTCTTTCACAAATGTTTGTAAAAACAGTCTGCATGCCTAGGTGCTTGAATTTATACACCTGTGGCCATGGAAGTGATTGGAACACCTGATTCCAATAATTTGGATGGGTGAGCAAATACTTTTGGCAATATAGTGTATATATATATATCAAACTAAGCAGGATAAACTGTATTTGTCAGACCAGCTTCATACCTTCAGTATTTCTCCATCTGCGTAGATGACATACATCGTCACTTCAACGTTTTTCTGAACACTCTTTCCTCCTCTCTCAAAGTCGCCTCGCTCCAGATTAAGGTACAGGTCATTACGGATGTCGCCTGATTCAGGAAGAATGAAACAAAAGAAAACAACACAAATTAACAACAACCATAATAACAAATAATGTCCTTTTTTAAAGATGGGATTGGTGTGTTCACATTTAAATGCTACATACAGTAACATAAGGAAAGGGAACAGCCGGAGCATAAAGGACAAACATGTCCTGAAGCACAAACAGTCTCAAACACATTTAAAATTGAATATCTAACAAACCAAAGATAAATGACCTGTGTTTTCACGTGGGGATTCATTTGTCATTTCCTGCTCGTCCTTACAGAGGAGGTGTCACCTTTAATATATCATATGGGCGTTAAATACTCACTCCATCTCTGCCTAAGGGGAGGAGAGCTTAATGTGTGTGAAAGAGGTGTGAAAGACCCTTTGACATGTTGTGTGTTTTACAATACAGCCGTGCTGTCCCTGCTTTTAGAGGACAGTTTTCAGGGTTAATGTTCCTTCCTGTGCTTATCTGGGTAATTCTTAAAGTTATATACTCTTAAATATGCATCTAAATGCTGCATTCTGATTATGAACACACGTGAAACTAAATAGGAAGAGTCTGGTACTGCAGACACGGTTTTGTTTTTGCAATTGCAAAAAAATCTTTTTGCAATTTAATCACACCTGGAGCTCAGACTGTATGTTTTTATAATTTTATTATTAAAATTAGGTGTAACAATGTCTACAGATGAAAAACTCGGAGCATAAATATCCATGGGCGTAGGTTTGCATAGGGACCATAGGGACATGTCCCTACCAAAATTTTGAACCGACCTAATTTTCCCTACCAATAATTGGATGTGAGCAACATGTTTATAATTTACAGCAGTAGTTGTTGCAGCAGTGGCTTCTTTTCCTCTCGCAGCTCCTCTGCCTGGTCTCTCCTGTCCCTTCACGCAGCAGCGCATGGAACTGCTGCGCTGTTTAACTCCACTCTCATTGGTTTTTCTGCCTTAGGTCCCGCCTTCTCTCTCCTTGATAGGCTGTTTTCTAGTCCGTCCGTGCTTGGAGCACAAAATTGAACATTTATTCACACTAGAATGTCGCGGTTACTACAATAAATATCAGGCTGCAAAACTAGTCCCAATGAAAAAAAAAAAAAAAAAAGGAATATCATGTGCACTAAAAAACAAAAACCTTTTTTTTTTCTTTTTTAAAACGAAATATTCTGAGTCAGCCAGGATTTCTGAGGACTGCTGGAAAAATGGGCAAATAAAGGCTGTAAGCCATCAACATTTCTGATTCTTAGCCACAGCCAATTAAGAAAGAAAATGTGAGGGTTTCCTTTTTACCGATATTTAGTTGCTATTACTGTTTTCATTTTTTGATGACTCTTTCAGGTATAATTATTAGCAGGTGTTATTTCTTTTATAGAGTAGCCTATAACAACAAGAAATGGTGCCTAAACATCTGCTATTTTTTGTTTAAAAAGCATAATTAGGGTTCCACATAATAATAATAATTTAATTGACTATTTATACTTCTAGAAATAGGATAAAGACAAGAACAAACAGCGGAAGAATATTAACATTGATTTTATCTTACATAGATTTCCACACAGTCTATAAGTAAATTAGTACAAACATTAATGTCTGGTAAAAATGCTTGAATCTGACTGTTTATTTTGGATATTATTAAATTACAGATAAGATAGTGTTATAATGTCTTTTATAATTGTTAAAAGTGATTTTATATTTTAATACACTTAGGCTCATGCTCAGTGTTGTGTTTGGAGATGATGCCACTAAAAAAGAAAATAGACATAAGGAGCTATTTAAACAGTCAGACAGTAAGCATTATAGGACAATGATAAAAGGTTGAGTTACATTTAATACTTTACTATTAAAAATGCACTTATACATTATATGATTATAGGAAACACAGATGTCCAGTAATAAAGATGCAGGGCAGCTTGTAGGTGAAGCAGCTGGCCTTCAGTGCTTCAGGTGATGTCTAAATAAACCAGGTGATACTAAAATATTTCCTCTAGATGAGTTCTGGAGGAAGAATATTGACAGACAAAAACGTTTTTTTTTTTAATCTTATATATTATATATATATGTTGTATTTTTAAAATTTTGGTATAATTACTGATCTAAGTGGCTCTGTCGGAGAAAGGCATATATTTAATTTTTATTATGTTTTAGAGTCTCTATACTCCAGTTAATGATGAATCACTCACTAAATTAGTTGACGATTGTTGAAATAATCAATTAATAGGCTACGATTCATTTTTTCAGTACCAGATAAAATACATGAAATGGGCTACACAGAGTAACTATAGCCCAGATGTTCCACTTTTATAGTGAAGTTAATATTTTAATGAGTGTATTATTTTGCTTGATACAGAGAGAGCATAGTAGGTAAAAATATAAGAGTGGGGTTTAACTCTGCACCATTCTATATCTTCAGAAGAAAATACTGTATTTACCTTCTCTCTTAGTCGTTCAAATGAAACCATTTTCAAAGTGGAAAACAGTCCTAATTCCACATTGATCAGAGCCTGTGATACTTCAAACATTGATAAACAGCATCTAATGAATGTAGTGCTTATACAATTTTTATTAATGTAGCAAAATTATGCTTTTCTCTTTTAACAATGAATTCCTCTTATCAGTACGGATCCTCACACCGTGCATAAAAAAGGACATGCATATTGCATAGCACCAATGACAACCGACTGATAGTGTCCCTACCAAAGTTCAAATCAAACCTACGCCCTTGTAAATATCTGATTAGAAAAAAACATGAACAAAAATGTTCTCACCTTGATCTTATGAGCTATGAACTATCTACTGCTGAAAAATGCTTCTTTATTATTCTCATGTCCTATTTTCTCTGTCTTCTCTTTTTCTGTATTTTAAGAATCTACAGCATGTGAAACGACACCAGCACTGAGTTCATCCTGTAGGACTGCAGATGGGACTGTTTGAGTGAATTAAAACTTCACTGGAAACTGAAAAATTTGTTTTACATCCGTGGGAACCATGAAAAATAAGACTTTACCTAAAAATGATTTGATGCATCTGCATTCCCAGGAGTAAACACATTTACATGATCCGTCATAGTTGTGCCTCCATCTCATTTTTCTTTCATGCCGCAGGGGCGTAAATCACTTTATCCTGTTCTGTCTTACTGTGGGGAAGCTGTGGCTGCATCAAGTCATGTTAAGTTGGAATGAACAGAGCGATAACATTTACATTTTTTTTCATAATGTTAAACATGCATATTGTTATAATGTGTTATTATATTGCTCAAATATAAAAAAACAAAAAACAGATGGAACTTTAAAAGTTTTCACATTAAAAGTTGATAAAGCTGTTTTTTTTTCTGGGTGGCAGGTATATTCTTCCTCCTTATTATGCTGCATCCAGAAAAATCTGAAAGCAAAAAAAAATTCAAATAAAACCTCTGTGGGTGCCAGAATGTGACTCACCTGGCATTATGACATCTGGGAATCCCAGTTTCCGAGTGATGGCTACACCTCTGCTGAAAATAAGAGGGTTTTCTCTGCGGACCTGCTCCATGTCACCTCTTAGCAGCTGCAGGGAGATGATCAGTCCTGCAGGGTTTCATTGAGAGAAGAGTTGAGAAAAAGTCATTCCACAGAAAAGAAGGACATGTCTGCATGAATGGAAACAAACTGGATGTTTTTTTCCTAAACAATAAAAATGAAATGTGCTTCAACTCTTAAACAAGCAAGTGAATGCTGAAACCAAAATATATTTTCTCTCATCAATCCCATTATTGCAGTTGATATCTAAAAATAAAGCTGCAGATTTAAATTAGTCTAAAATGACATTACAGATTGAAATGACCACAACATTTGGTCAAAACTGATGAGACTTTTGGGCCGCAGGAGCTCAGGGTGTAACTTCAGGTCAGACTGAGTCCCTTACAGAGATGCCAATTAAGGGGATTTTCCAGCTAATGTCAAAAATCTGACATCCAGGAATCAGTCAGATGGCATGGAGGAGTTGCTCCTGGGAGGTTTGCATGTTTTTTTTTCTAACCTCTTGCCTTCTGTGTGCTTTAGTTTAATTTAGTTCTCAAATGTCATTTAGTCAGTAGCTATTAAGGCTTGTTTTTAGAAAATTGATTTTCCTAACAGATTTATAAGGACTAATATACTCAATATATAAAAGGAAGATAAAAAAAAAATACTTGTGATGCAAAAGTGATGATAAAACACCGAAAAACGTTTTTTATGGAATTTAAAGACCTGATAATTTAGGTATGATTTTAGGTATGAATGCATAACACGTGTATAATGTTAATAATGTTGCTCTGAGCTTATATACCTATACAAAAAAAAAAACTTGATATGAAAGCCATCAAAAGAGTAAATGGAATGGATATTAAAAAAAAACAATAATCTATAATATAAAGTGAAATAAGTTACTAGATTTGCTTGAGTAGATGGAATGGATATAAAAAAAAACAATAATCTATGATATAAAGTTAAATAAGTTACTAGATTTGCTTAAAGTCTGAAAAAATAAATCATAATTTTTAAAGTTTTGGAAATCTCTCAATTTGTTAAATATTTCTAATACATTGTTAATCATGTCAATGTTAATTAAAAACGGTTAAATAGCAACACTGGCAGTTTAAATGTACATTTAATTCATTTTATTTAATAACCTGAGAGATTATAATATTAAAAAAAGGGAATTAATAATCAAACACATTGTTTTCAAATCCCTCCAATGCTCAGACACTCCTCACACGGCCATGATGTATTAATCCACAGTAGTCCCTACCGTAGTTGGTGCTGGGTGCGGTGTATTTGGTGCTCGACTTGCGGATGATGTTTTCATGGATCTGGTACCATTCATTCTCATTGTTACACCTGGAGGGAAACACAAATGCTTTTATATCAAAGTACATGAAACAGAAATGTTTGACAGGCTTGAAAAAAAAAGACTTCATTAAATGTTTCCCTCTGTCAAATTTAAAAGGGATTTTTTTCCCTCCTGCAGCAAAAGAAAACTCTCTGTGAGGAAATTATTCAAAACCGATGAAATTAGACATGAAATGTATTCAAACAAATGCCCATATATAACCAAAAAATAAAAAGAGACACAGTGCTGTGATGAGAAGCACTTCAGGGTTTCTGTAGGTGATTCTTTTAACTGACAGGTATTCCTTCCCTCTAGGCCATCATTTCTTAAGGGTTTGTTTGAAATAATAGCAAACAGCACTGGAATATTAGCTGTTTGGAAATTATTTAAGAAATACAATAAATAAATAAAAAACACTGAGAGAAGATTAAAGAGGAGAAACAAATCTGAAAGTAAAAATATCATAACAACTTATGCTGTTTTTAGCATTCTAATCCTTTCTTTTATGTTCTTTATCTATAAGCCTAAAATATTCTGTCTCTGACCACAGAATGAGGGCCGGTCTTCCTTAAAAATAGAACATAATCAGTTTCAGTTTTGTTTCTGCAGCTTCTGTATTGTTGCTGTCAGCCTCTTGACTCATTTCCTGACCAGTTAGCATTTTATCTCCTCTATAGTTTATGAGAAAATTCTAATTTCTAATATCATTGTTTGCCTGTGTTCCTCACTGATACCTTTGTTTAATCACATAATTTTGACATAACTTCTGCTGGGGTAGTTCAAGTGTATTTCAGGTTTAACTCTATAAATAATTTCAGGCACGTACCACAGAAGATAAGCTGATGAAACTGAATGAAAAAATGTTTACAATAAAGTATTTCTCTGATGGAGTCAAGTTATGGCAGCTTTTCATTTTCATTCTGTTTTACTCCTGACAGATTTGTTTGTTTTCAGTTAAGATAAACAGGAACTATATCATCTAAATATGGGGAAAGTTTTGAAAGAATTACTTTATGATCTGATTTCTTTAATCACAAAAATCTGGTTGTTATGGAGATGAAACTGATCCATCTACAGAGTTGTAATTTGAGCTATGTGTTAAATTTAGTCTCTGTATGTGCCTCTAGTTTTGTCAACCTTTATCATCTGTGTGGAAGCAGCCACTCACGTGTAAACTTTGAGAACAAAGTCTTTTTCCTCTTTGAGCTCTGAGATGATCTGCAGCACGTCGCTCATGGCCAGAACAGCGCAGCCGTACGGTCTGCGGTACTGGACGTGTGGCGGGCCTTTCTTACTGTCATTCAGCAGCATGCGACCTGAAATAAGTACAAAATCATGTATACTTGGATCAGAGAATTGAAAAGTCATAAGGTACTTTTGAGAATTTTTTTAACAATGTCATTTTAACTGATCATAACTTCATAACTCATATTCAGCGCTAAAGGCTGATGATCTTTACCTGGTATCTTCTGCTTAAGTTACGGTTTTCACTTTTCTTCATTTTTTTTTTTTTTTTTATTTTCCAACAGGCATATTTCAGGTACAATTTATAATGTGAGAAAATAACATGATTTCAAACAAAATACAATCACCAAATGATGATTTATCTTATTAAGGGAAAAAAAAAAAACTGGGGAAAGTAATTCCCCATAAGCCCAATTAATGCTGCACCTCGCAGCAAAAACAATAATCATGTGTTTTGTTTTTATTACTGTGTTGGAAGTTTGGTCCTCTCTTGCAGAATCCATTTATTTCAGCCACAGCGGAGGGATGTTTGTTGAGTTTTAGGCATTTAGAGGAGGACTTTCTGCAGTTTTGGGTTATTGCCCTTCTGAGTAATCAAATGTGCTTTATTTTGTGCTCACAAACGGATTAGTTATTGTCCTTAAGGAATTAATTTTCTTTGCTAAAGAGCAGCATTCATACTTCCGTTGATTAAAACTAAATAAATCTAGGACCAGAAGAAGCAACAAAATGCGACTTATCCAAACTACCAGCCGGTTTCCTTTTAAGCATTGTGTTTGTTTTTCTTTTATGTTGTTGTCTGTAGACCACATTTAATTGGATGAACAGCTTCCAAATGTTTACCTTCTGTGACCAGTATGATGTTTTCACCAAACGCTTTGGGAATAATTAAGGTGGTTTAAGGCAGATCTGATACGGGTCTTTGTGTATCTATTAGGCAGCAATGGTTTTGGCACTGTGGCTCTCTCATTGATGATTTGGGCCAAATCTTTTTTTATACTGATCTAAACTAATTAAAATTAAAGCTATCAACACTTTAGAGATTGTTCTGGGTTGTTTTCTGATCTCCTGGATGATTTAGGATGTTATCTTTGAGTGACTTGGGCTGGCCACCCGCTCCATGGAAAGTACATTACATAATTGGGTCACAGATGCCACAAAACCTTAGAAATGACATAATTTCCAGACTGATATCAATGATTAACATCAATTTTTTTTTTTTTTCTCCCAGATTTTAAGAACTGTATATGTCACATTAAAATTAGTGTTGCACTGATACCCTGCAGGGCCCCAAACCAGCACTAAAATGGTGGTATCAGTATTGGCGAGTACCAACAAATAGGGCACCGATACCATTTTGAAAGCCAAAAGTTTATTCAACTATTGTCAGGCATTCCAGGTAGGCAATACCAATTTCTACTGGATTTTCTTTGTATTAGTCGTTTTCCTGCTTTACAAAGGTAGGCAGCAGCTTGAAAAAAAGCCATGGCGGCAATTACTTTACATCGAAGTAGTATGCAGTTCTTCATATATACAAACACACACATCAATTTTAAACAGATGATATCGGTATCTGCCAATACTGCACAGCCAGGTATCAGTATTGGGGCCAAAAAATGGCATCGGTGCAACACTAGTTAAAAATACAGGTTCTCTTTAGATGATTACTTTATTCTACAGACCAGGCAGTAATCAGTCGTGGGGTGTAGCTTTAGTTAAATCGAACCAAAAACATTTATTACTATTAATGCTTGATTCAAGACTTTTTCACTGAGGATAAAGCTGCTCCAGATAGATCTATCCAATACATTTGAATTTAAAAGGTAGCTTTTGTATTAATTCAGTTTATATTTTCCTGCTGCGTTTTGGTTCATTTGAAACATTTAATAATGAAAATAAAGAAAGTAGAAGAAATATATCAGCCAGCAGATTTTCACAGCACTGTAAGACTGAGTTAAAACAGTCAGACCTGTTCGAATAACTTGTGACACGATGTAGAGATCTCTCTTCATGTCCTTGTTGCTCAGATCCTGCAGTTCAAGAGAGGACAAACCGACATGTCAAAAAAAAACCTAATTGAAATGACAAATAAAATCAGTCCTGAAACAGAAATTGGTACAAAAGGAGACCTTTGATGGAATCTAGTCATTACTTTTTCCATCGACAAGTTTCTTTTTTTTGCAGTTCATACAGTTCAAATGATCATTCAATAAGACAGCAATGGACTAATTATTTTATTAATGGACATAGATTTTATCTATCTTCTGAATTTAAAAAGGGAAGGGCACATGAAGGTATGTTACATAACTAAAGATGCTCCAGCAGCTTTGACCATGAATTATTACCCAGTATTACCAAAACACTTATAAATCTAAAATGCACAAATTTTCCTTTTGAATTTCTCAAAACCACAGAAAAATACATCTCTTCTACCTTGTCTGTATTCTATTTGGGGACATTTGTCTCCAGGCTGATGCTACCATACATCAATAGGGGGCAATGTAATCTTACTTTTAGGAAACCTGCCGCTTTTAGATATTCTCTTTTTAAAAAGCCAAAAACATACATGTTGTTGACATGTGTTTGTCCCGCTTACCGTGAACAGTGCACACAGCCGGTCCACCTTCTCCGGATTCTTTGGTCCTCCATTCTTATTTAGTCTCACCAGGAACTTCTCACTGAAAAACACAATCAAAGGCTTGAGCTTTAATATTTCTGAGTCTCTGGATTTCAGACACCTGCAGCAAGGTTCTTACAAGTCTGATCTGCTTCTTAAAAGGAGACAAATCAAAGGTTTAAAGAGTAAGAAGTAAATACTAAACACTTCATTCCATAAAACAGTTATCATGGCAGACTTTGATGCATCCTCTTATCTGTATACCCTTTGGAACAAAACTCCCAGATAAAGGAACCCAGATCAGATCTATTCAGTCTCCTTGGTAGCTGGAGTTGAAAGATGCCTCTTCTCAGTGCGCCCTGATCTGAAACATCACAAGCAACTAAAATAATACAAATCAACTGAGGCTTTGAGCACAGAAAAAGGGAAATAATTGTCTGTTGTTTACATAAAATCATGAACATGTCTCTATATTCTGTAAACATCATGGAGATTAGACTGCACCGACATATTTATTATCAGTATCATTAAGGTTCCTAATCTTTTTACAGTGAAACCCTTGTATTCCCAATACTATGTAAATGACTGAATCAACTACTCACTTAATCAACGGTATGTTTAATTCATACATAAATATCTTACTGTTATAATCTAGCTGAAAAGAGGTTACATTTTAATAAATTGACTCCAGACACACAAAGTAAAATGTATTTTATAACGATTTAGTTTTGTTTATTTCAGTTTCCAGCTATGGGAACCAAAAATTAATTTGATTAGAAAGTTTGAATATTACATCAGACAAACATAAAATGAATAATATTACAGAGACGTGAGGCTGCCTAATTCCTTATTGTGTGAATTATTGCTCTGGTGCAGCAGACCGTGGATCGGCCGATGATGATGATGTGCAGAGGAAGCCCAGGTTGCTTTAAAAGGAGCCTTAAACTTATCTGCGTGGAAGGCTCTGGGGTCTCACCTTCTCTTTAACAATACCATAAAAAGCTCTTTGAGGTTTTAGTCAGGAAGGTTTGCTGACCAATCCAGTAGAGAGATACTATAAATTTACCATCATTCATTATGTAGTCAAGGTAAGATGTCTCTCATGTTCTTTTCAGCAGTGGCTTAAAACAAAGAATTCAATAGTTGAAGCTCTTGTCTTAAATGCATCTCGGTGTAGCTAAAGCTGCCACACACAGACTTTAGATGTAGACCAAAACGTTTCATGTGAATCCCTCCTAAGCGCCTAAATTCATAAATACTTGATTAGCTTTTCCCATGGCTTCGGTATTGCTAAACCATAGCATAAATGATTAAAGCACAAATATTGAAAAAAAGTAGAATGCATTTTATTAATCTTGTCACATTTCTATTATATACACGTATATACATATACATATATATGTACATATATGTACATATACATATATATATATATATATATATATATATATATATATATATATATATATATATATATATATATATATATATATATATATATATATATATATATATATGTATACTTAACACAAACTGGCAAAAAAAAATTGTGATATTGAAAATGCACATTTAGCGCATTTTACTTTTGATTTCAGTCTTTGAGACAGCAGGTCTCATATGTCAAGAGCTCGCCTGAGGGCAGAGCAGGGGGAGCTTCAGGGGACACGCTGCAGCACAAAGATTGATGCACTGGAAATTGTTTTGTCACAGTTTAATAAATATTGAACAGAACTCTTTTTAAGGATTTTGTCTGCTTATTCTAAATCCCAGAGGAAAAGAGTAAAAGAGCAGAAGGTCAAGTGGGCATAGAACAGAGACAAACAGACTTTATATCTGATCTCCTTCAGGTGGATCATGTTTTGTTTCTGTGTTAAAGACAGTTTGCATGGTTACCTTTTTTGTTTTTTGTTTGGAAATGTCCACATAAGTATGCCAGTTTAAACTTTAAAGCTAAAGTTTTCATACTCCTTCATCTGCTACACATTTAGTCATATTGTCACTATAAACTTGGATGCCGTGCATTGAGATTATACAAGCTAGAACATCATATATAGTTGTGGATAATGATGAAGTGGAAGATATGACAAATAGTTTTTCAGATGAAACTTAGAGTGTGGCGTGTATTTGGCTTCCTGTGGCAGTACTTTTGGAGCACCATCTTTTATTCCAAATACAGTCTTTTGGGTCATGCTTCCACTAACTTTATGCTCTTAGAGTCTGGTTCTCTGCCCATTTGTCTTTGCAAAACAGCTCTGGGCTGCATGGTCTTACTGTGAATGTATCTCCAAATAATTAGCTTTCCTCCCACACTTCCCTTTTAGGTATTGTTTGCATGCATGATTTATCTCCTAGCTGTCCACATGATAGGCTGGAATCCTGTCCAGAGCGTCCCCGCCTCTCACCCAGTGACAGCTGGAGAAACTCATATTATGGTCAGAGACTCCATTTCAATTTGCCAACCAGTAATTTCATGTTTGCTAATAACTGTTTTGCCTTGATATTTGGTTCTATAAGCTAAAGAAACAGGTCAAAGAGACACCAAATATTTTCTTTGTTTGGCAGAAGGCAGATCCATGATGAAATTATAATCTTTATAAACAAAACCAAAAGTTTTCCTTAAGCAGAGCTTACACAAACTGAGAAGTAAACAAACACAGAGCTGAAATAAATTACAAACAAAGCTGGCCAGTCACTGAGAATATATTCAAGATCTGACAGTGAACTGCCGAGCTTTGCAAAAATGTAGATTACTTTGAAATTTTTCAGATTTGGTTAAAAACCAAAAACAAACCTCAAAGCTCATTATGTGATAAAAAAAAAAAAAAACAAGTAGGGTTTAACTTTAAAGTATACAGATGATTATTCTTTTAAAAATGACATTTTTTGTTTGTGAAGATTTAATTTTTGGAAAAAATGAAACATTGTTTATCAAGCATTTTCACAGCTTGAATTTAATTGCCATTTAAATTAAACTCACCTCTCAAAGGAGTTAATTGTTAAAAGCTATTTTATGAAACTATTCCAAAAAAGTTAAAAAACAATCCACTGGACTTTGTTTCCAAGTTTGAAGACGTTTGGACCGCAGTACATCTACACCTTATGGACCAAGACATTCTTTTGAGGATCAGAATGTTCATATTTTGGACAGAGAAGAAGGTGGTTTGAGAAGAGCGTGAAGGAAGCCATCTATGTTAAGAAAGAAAAACCAAACTTAAAAAAGGGGTGGACTCAGATTTCAGCCTGCCTATTCCTAAGAGGAGGACCAGTTTGTCCGGTTCAATTTGCATGTTTTTTAAGCAACAACAAGGCTTGGTTTTTGGTCCTCTCTATAAAGCCTCAAACTCAACGCTATTTCTGACATTTTGAATTGAAAAAGCTTCCTGGATGGGAAGCGAAACTTCTTCAACATAGAAAGAAAGTCCTTTTTTAAACTTTTTTGGAATGACTATAACCTGGATGACTGAGAGTCTTTACCTTTATGAAACTAATGTGTGTCATCTGTCATTCTGATTGTGAAAACATAAGGGAGAAACAAATTAATCAATAGGATTTGATAGGAAAATTTTTTTAATTAAAATTTAAAGTTTGAGATTTGAGTTTAAAGTTAGTCATATAGCCCCTCAACAAACAAAGGGGACAAAATGAATACATTTAAAACTATGCTTAAATATATTTAAAATGTTTTGGCAAAATGCAATTTGTTGTGGAAAAATAACATTCTAAAGCCATTACATCTATAGTACAACATGGTAGTGGCATGCAATGCTTTGGGCAATGTCATCTTCAGCAGGGACAGAGAAGATGGTAAAGTAAAATATATAAAAAAAAAATATTTTGAATTTTCCATTCTCAATATGAATATATTAACTTTTGTGCAGTTGGGCTGAACTAGAATAGTTGCCCTTGAATTTGTCTCTAACTCAATTAGCTTAAACTGTGGAGAGACCAGTAGATGGCACTTACTATAAAAAGAAAGAATTTGACAACATACCAACAAGACTTTAATTGGAAAATAGAAATTACTTGTTGATTCTGCAGAAGTCCAAATCACTGCATTGAACTATGAACATTAAGTCTATATCGATTCAGGATGATAAACATTTCTGTTAATTTCATTATTGAATCCATTTCACACTTAAAGACAATTGGAAAATTTCAACATGATGCTTAGACTTAGACAAACTTTGTTGTCATTTTATATGCACAGTTTATGCTAAATGAAATTTCACTGCATTAAGCTTACAGTAGTGTAGTGACATTGCAGTTGGAGTAAGATAAACATTACCAACCAATATAAAGTCCAGCACTGATCAGAATGTAACAATTTGGGAGAAAAAGAGACCAGTTTAAAGTAATGGTACAAAAGGGCATTTATATGTAAAAGTTCTGTGAAGTGCAAAATAAATATGGTGCAAAATGCAGTAGAACCTTGAGCTGTGTATATATATATATAAAAAACTATACCAATTTAGCAACACTGGTAGTGCAAAATAATGTTGCAAGTGTGATACAAAGTCTAATTGAGAGTTCAACAGTTTAACAGTCTGATGGCAGCGAGGAATAAGCTGTTACAGAATGTTATGCCAATATGCCATGATCATACTTTTTGGACATTGGGAAGCAGTGTCCATATTTCATCCTGATAGGATGACCAGAGAAGAAAACGCAGCTTTGGTGAATAACAGCTGGGGGACTTCTGCAGCCCCCCTTTTTCAGCCAAAGCAGCCACAAGCAGTCACATGGAAGTCACAGAGGTGTGAAAACCTACCCCCCTCCCTGTGAGGACAGAACAAAACCACAGAGCACACAGGATTCTGCCTCTTTCTCCCTCGTCTGATCCAGCCTGCTTCTGCTCCTCCGCTCAAAGCTGGGGCCCACTGTGGCCCACAGTGGAGATGCAGGCCCCAGGGGAACCAGATCCCCAGAACCATCAAGGATGAGTCAGAACTCTTCAGAACCAAACTGCTGCAAACAGAACTTTTGCAACACATTTCTCTTGAGTTTCAGAACTTACAGAGCCAAACTGGATGAAGACCATGCCCTGGGTTTCAGACTGAGGGG